TTTGTTGTTTACAGAATAAAACACTCTTCTCATTGTGATAACCATTAAGTTATCTCGTACAGCCCGTGGGAATGTCCTACCAAATAATTTATTATACCAAACCTCCTTCCCCCACGGTCGGTTTAAAAAATGCTGGGTTGGAAGAACTCTTCGTGAAAGAGCAGACGGTTGATGATATCACGCATTGAAAATTTGCTGTAGATACTTTTGCTTCGAGGAGCGTGACTCACTCAGCCTGTCCTACTATAAGCATTTCCGGGAAGTGGGTTGAATGGTTCGCTCATGAAGGCTTCGGCCATTAACACTTTGTTTATTCTCGAATCCCTCCATTTTCTTTTTATTAATGATAAATTGTTCACATTTTAATACTATTCGTAAGATGTTTCCTTCTAGTCATACTTTTTAAGTTCTATCTAGTATTATCAGAACTTAATTTAACCCTAATTTATTTTTAAAAAATCAATAAAACCTTAAGTTGTAGTTGAATAACGAATGAACCTACTACTTCAATAAAAATGAGTGTCATACGAAGGGTTTCTTGTTTGTTCTTTTATTTATTTAAATGTGTCTTTCTCATTCATTATCATTTAATTCATTTTTTTTATATTAGCTTAAGGATCAGTTACAGCTAGATTAAGGCAAAGACCCCCGGCACCGAGGATGAGGGGACGAGCACTTTCTGCCCTCCCTCCCAATATTTTGTAAAATGGTCAGAGTTTTACTTAATTTCCAATATTTCAGTCCATTTATTTAAAAACCAACACACAAAAGAATTCAGTAAATCTTTTTTTACCTCCTACCTCACAGTAGAGCATATGGCGGGGTTATTCTAAGAGAATAACTAAATATAATCAAATCAGAGATTAGATTATCATTCCGTCAGTCCGCCACAAAATAAATTTCAACCCATTGATTTGAACAAGCGTCGCTAGACCCAAGAACGTTAAAGTTAACGCTTGAACACGTAAAACAGATCAGTAAACCATGCAAGTAATAATCTTAATTTATTGCAGGTAATTAACTGATGATTAGACTACTTTATGTATGTCGTTCAAACCCCATCCCATCTAAATCTACCCTCCCCCAACATTTCATACGTAGCGGTCCTAATGCTCCAAAGAATCCTTTTTTTAACAATCGATTTAAAGGTAAGATGCAAATTTAGAAGTTTTAACTTAAATAATGTAAACTTGGATATTTTTTCAAAACTCAAATTACTGGAAATACCGAAAAAAATATAAGGGCATTGAAAATGTCGGAGATCTTCGGCAAAGACCGGAACATAAGCAATACTGACATGGAGGCTTGTAACTTCGGCAAGATATTGTCAACAAAAAAATACTTACTTTAATTATAAATTCATTTTCTATTTTATAGTTTCTATTTCTATTTTATATTTCTATCAGTTATATAGTTACCCAACCAACAAATGGAACAAAGGCCAGACAAAGAAAACTAGGATAAGTTGCGGAAATATGCTCAAGAAGTTAGAAGAACAAAAGGTATGACCGTTTTATTTTTTCTGTAATATGTGTAGATCTATCAAAGATTAACCGTCCATCCAATATAACCATAACACGTTAATAATAATAATTTAATTTAAATAATGTTCTATTGTCGTTGGGAAACAATAGGAAAGGCCTGAGAAGTTTTACAGTTGAAATAAATTACATTCCCTCCTGACAGATTAAAAGGAAGTGGCTTGGAGGTTCGGTTCCTCTGGCAGTTGAGAGAAGGCAACGGCCTGTGACTGAGTGAGCCATTACCATCAGGTGTGTCTCAGCATCAGAGGTACCCAGAAGGGGGGAGGGGTCATGGCGCAAGTTGAGCCATCAAAATTTTTAAGGGGGCATATTTTGACGGGTTTTTGAATTTTTGAGGGGGGCATATTTCGACGGTGTTATGAATTTTCGGCCTTAGGAACAAGGGGGAAAACATGGAACATACTGCAGCAAGTGCAATTGTATATAATCCACGATTTTTCTAATTCTACCTTAGCTTGCTCTTTATTTAAGAAAAGGTGAGCAATAAAACATCTTAGGAAGAAGGGGATGGACACCCCTGCTCAGTATAGTTGTACATCGCTTCTATATTTGAAGTGTTTAACAAACTTTGCGGGAAAATCAGCAAAGGTTAAGAAATTTGGAGACTAAGTACAAAAAGGAAAAAAATATAATCAAAATAGACTAAATATTCTAAATTTATACCATCCTACAATCTGAATAAACTTGGATCAGAATCAGCTACAACAAATGATAAAAAAACATATTTTAGAAACAATCTGAAAAGTAATAAATGTTTATTACTAATACACTCAAAGTTGGATTTCATAATTGACAAAATATATCAATAACACAATGCTCATACATGAATGACGTAAAAACTGTTCCATATATCAAGAGTAGGTAATTGAACTCTTTAGCACTCTCATTCAGCTTCCAATAACAGTGACACGGATGGGAGAGAAGTGCTCTGATGGAGAGGGATCTCTTTGAATCCTGCTTTGCCTCTCAATAGTGGCAGAGCACGGTTCAAAGATCCATATGATCTTTAAGGTAAATCAACAACTAAAGGCAGAGAAAGTATTATTCAATATTTTTATTAATAAATCTCACATAATTTATTCTTTTTTACAAGTCTATTGAGATAAAAAACATAAACAACAGTTTACCAACATTGGGATGACCAGCTCAAATATGGCCATAATCTCCCTAAATTCTATTGAACTTTTTCCTTTAAATTCAGCGTAATGAGATACTATCATCATCATCTAATCAAATTAATCAAATATTAATATTGTCGGTATCCTAACTTCAGTTCACTAGCATCCTATTCTGTTTCAAAAGACATTTTATCATAAAGTAAGCAGATGATAGTTTGTATTACATAAATTAAAGAAACTATAAGATGATTCAGATGACCACGCTCTACAATGAGCCCCTTTTTAACTTTTTAAAAAAAGAATTATTAAAAACAACCAAGTGATGAATTCAGTAAAATTGTTGTTAGTACAATCATTAGAAGATAAATATTAATCCATGATTTATACTATACGAACCATACTAATCATTCCATTGTTATTAATTAAATACAAAATGATTTCTTCCCATTCATATCTATACCCTACACATCAGTTCAACTAATAACAAAGGATTATTTATAGATATTTAAAAATACTGAGATCGCACTAGCAGCAATAAATAAATAAATAGGTATGGAATAGTAAATTGGAGATTTAGCATTATATATATATATATCTAAATGTATTATAAACAGTTTTAGTGGTAACAATTCTGTGAATCAATCTGATAATCTTAAATTAAAAACAAAAAGTGGAATGAAATGTCTGGAGAACAATCATACTATGAGTGTGAATTAAAAAATAAAAATAATTCTAATAATAATTATTGCCTTAACTGAAAAAAAGGAATTTGGGGCCATTCGTGAATAAGTAACTTTACTACATTTATTATATTATATTAGCTGTGTTATAAATCAACCCTGATGTCAGGAGAATCTCCTGTGGCACACCACGGCCACCATAATACGGGTATCTTTAATTGGGAAAAATCTGGATCTAGATTGTCATCACGCAAAAATCACCTCCTTGCACAACCATTAGCTTAGAAACAGTACCTCCAAAAAAGAACTGAACCCAAGACCATTGTAATGATACACATTTTTGTTTTATTTCTTGTTTTGTTTTTTTAATTTATTATTTAAAAATCTTATCAGTAATAATTTAAGTTTAATCTGAGTTTATGGCAATGCTCTCTTAGATACTAGATATCATCTTGAAATGAAAAAGTGTGATATTTTTATGGTAAAATTGCTGGTTTAAGACAGTTTAAACTATTGTTTCTTAATACAACAATAATCCAATATTTTAAATTCATCCTGAATCCGAGAATAATGTGTACAGCATGAACAATATTCCACAATTCATTTATTTTATATGACAAAGAATGGTTCGAAAATAAAATAAAAATTAAACTCTTTGTCACTGTTGTTAATATTTAATATATCTAAGAGTTAAAATACTTCAACTGACATCTTAGAATAGTAAGATGATTATAAGAATATTAAAATTTCAATTAGCCTTCGCGGACAAAATAATGTTAAATTTCAATAGCATACATTAACAATAGAGATATATACAATTGTATTTTTGTCAGTGTTATCTTTTTTTTAAACTCTGCTCCAAGCATTAAAGTCACTTAACAGAACATGGTACCCAAAACTAAAACTTAATTTAAAGTATAAAATTAAGGTTTCATAAAATAATAGTTCTTAGGAAAAGAGGAAAGACTAATAGGAGATTATTGAATATCCTAGTGTACTTTTATAGCACGACTAGCCAATACCTGATACTAAGCAATAAAATATCAATATTTCGTAATATAATTGAATTCAGTTTAATTAAGTTACTTTTAAATTATCTACAAATAGCAATTAAAGAGGAATAAAAGAAGCCAATAGAGCCTAAAGAGCAACTAGGTGAACATTTCATAACACAATTACCCTCACAATTTGAACTTCATTCATTAACTTTAGTACATCTTAATTTACAACCTATTCTAAATACATTTGAAAATAATTCTAATAAAGTTATTGCTAGCTTATATATAAACTGTTTTTATCAACCTCTACAATTTCATCTGAATCTCTTTTAAAATAAATGTAAACAAAATACATTTTTTACAAAGGTAATGTTTATGTTTTGAGTTAAAGCTTCAATACTTGAAAGAGTAATTGCAAGGTAAACTAGATTAGAGAATATTAAACAAATTCAATATACTGAACAGCTATGTTTTCTTTTCACATTCAAAAACGTGATGAGATGTATATTTAAACTGCTAAAAGTAGCATTCACGGTTAAAATATAATATACAAATTTTATGGACTAAGTTAGGACAAAGAATACAAAATTTTGGAGAGGCAGTAACTAAGCAAATAATTTAAAATTAATTGCACATAGAAGGCTTTAATTAAATACTTACTTAAAAATGATGTTGAAAACACTGATGTCATCTTGGAAGATAAAACAGGTGCTTTGAACTGTGGATGAAAGTCATTACATTTGAAACAACACAAATACTAAATTAACAGTGGAAAATAAAAATATATTAACGATCCCAAATGCCGATAACATTCCAGTAATATTAAACAAAAAACACTAAAGGAACTAAAATATATATCACTCGCAAAAATAAATTCTACCAAACGAAATAGTTGAACGTTACCAACAACACAACATTCAACATCGGATTCCAAACGCTCACTCCCACCAAAACGTTTTGCCAGCCGCTCTAAACTAGCGCCCCTACCGGCTGAACTCCCAAGCCTTGGCTTATTTCACAATGGATTACAAAACTGACAACTATAGACAAAACTTGAAGGTTTCTCTAACGAATTATAAGATTAAAACATATTCGGTATTGTTTAACAACATTAAAAATATTATATAATAGGTGTGATTCCAAAACCTACCAACTCCTGTTCTAATTTTTTTTACATTATTAAGTGTTTCGGTGCTACTTTCTCATCTAAACACTTTTTTATCCCATCCTAATTTAGCAATAAAACTGTTAATTATAAAAACAAAAAAATAAATAAATAAAAATAGAGTTTTTATCCAAAAATCATACCTATAGAAATTAGTTTGTCTCATCACAATAAAGAAAGAAACTTAATTAAAAAAATAAAATTTGAAAATAAAATTTGCAGGTTAAGAAATCCTATACCTCATATCAAGATTAATAACTTTTTATATCAGTTATTCTTCAAGTATATCTTCCCAAGTAAGCAGTTAATGAAAGAAACAGGCATTCCATATAATGAAATACATATTATAAATCCAGAAGTTTTGACTGCTATGTTGTAATATATTTGTTTATCTGATGGTAAAAAAAATTGAACTAATTAATAAGGTCTGGAACCACCCACGTGCCAAAAGTGTGACAATAAACCACAGTCAGTAAAACATCTGTTAGTAGAGTGCAACGAGTTCAACAACATTCGGCAAAAATCGAAACTATCAACAACAATAAAAGAGATACTGAGAGACAATGAAGATGGAGTAGCCACCCTATTGCAATACTTAATAGAGACAAAATACTACAATAGAATATAGAAAACTAGCCGCCAATGACCCTATTGGGTAGAGGCGATTACAAATAAAAAAAAAATATATATATATATATATATATATATATATAAATATAACAATCAATTTTATGAATTGGGAAAATATTTGTGTAATTTAAATAAATGACTGATAATTAGGTTTTAAGCTTTTTATATTTTCCGAACTAAGCAAATTTAATTAAAGAAAGTGAAGAGAAGAATAGTTGGGGTGCTCAGTCAAAAAAGGAAGGCAAAAAATAAATATTATAATTTATTTTTTGCCTTCCTTTTTTGACTGAGCACCCCAACTATTCTTCTCTTCATTATCCACGACAGTCAACCAATTACCAATTATTAATTAAAGAAAGTTTTAAGCATTCTATACCATAAAAAATATATACTATTTTTTAAAAATCAGTAAGAAAGTTATGTTATGCTCGGGCGATAGTTCTTTTATTCCCTAATAAAATTAGATTATTTCATTTTGGATTTCATATCCTCCAAGAATATTTATGTTTATATTATATTATATTATAAATATTTATATTTACTAAAATATATACTATTTTTTTTAAAATCAGTAAGAAAGTTATATTATGCTCGGGCGATAGTTTTTTTATTCCCTACTAAAATTAGATTATTTCATTTTGGATTTCATATCCTCCAAGAATATTTATGTTTCTTGTTGTGTTATTGAACACCTACTTTCAGAAAATATAAATATTATATTCATATTAATAAATACAGGTATAGAAAAAAAAAGTACCCGGTCTCATTGATTTTAAGTAAATAAAATTTTATATATTTAATTATCTTAAAATTTTAAAATGATTCAACAAGGACCTAGAGCCCCTTAAATAATAATTCTTAACGTACAGTTCATATTTCAATATGTCTGAGTTGTTACAACCATAAACAACAAACATTGACAGTTGTCAGTAAAGGCTTACTCTTAGTCTTAAATATTCCAAAATGTAACTAGTTCTGGAAGGATTGAAATCTGCAAGTTAACTTTATGTAAAAATTAATTAAAGTCCACAAAGTTACTTCCAAAATACTTTAGTGATTTCACTGTAAAATTTCAGTCATCAAACTTCATAATCGATTCAGCTGTTCGCTTAAAAAATCATTACATAGCTTTTAGTGGACAACCCAAACACATAACCCTCTTGTTGCTTTGTTTAGTCGGGTAATTAATTAAAATCAAAGACTTGTGTGGGTAGTTTCCTTGCTTTAAACTTGGAAGACTGCCTTCCCAAGCTCTAAAGAAATACGAGTGATGCAGTTTTTTAGTTCTAGAATGAATTGTAAGTAATAAATAATTTTTCTTCTGATTTTTTCACAAAAATTATCAAAAAATTTAAAATGCATCATTGTATAAAGGGATTTAAATTTTAATTAAAAACAATGCAATATAAGAGAGTACTCACTTTTTTTTTTTTAATTTACCATAAACAAAGTTTCATAGTAACAATCAAGCATTGCAAAATAAACTACTAATACTAAATAAAAAAAATTGTATATTAAATCAGGTATAAATAGTTTAATAATACTGATGTATAATAATATTGTACAGAATAACATTTTTTTATTCTGTATTCAATGTGCACAATGCTTATATCAATAATACTGGCCATAGGTAAAACAACGTATAACATATTGAATTACATTAGTATTATATGTTTTTAACATTAATTTTTTTTAAAAATCCCTAATTGAAGTGCTGGAACTAGAAAAATTTATTTTATTTTATTTTTTTCATTCATCATGTCACATTTTAGAAATGTTTATGCCATTTAAATATATAATAATAAAATTTATTTCAAAATTTATTATGTGAGCCTGCCATGAAATATAGCAACTCTAACATAAATGGCCATCACAGCTTCCAATTCCCTACCATATAATTTTACCCAAATTTATTATAATACATTTATTATTATTATTATTACCTAATTCATAATAATTTTATTTTATTAATTTAACCTCTGATAATTGATGCTACTTTGAACTTAGTTGAAAGTTTGAGAGCAGTTTACTTTCCAGAACTAAAACAATTAAACTAATAACATAATTAATTATTATAAACAAACTAATAATTATTAAAATAATAATACATTAACCAGGCCAGTACTATAACTTTTTCTAAAAGTGATGACCTATATATATTTGAGAGAAAGATTCTTCAAAGTATTATGATGATGGTGGCTATTCCGAGAAGAACAATACAAAAATATCGAACATTCTGGAATAGAGCTGTAAAAACTAAAACAAGAAAAGGGCAATAAAAGAGAAAGAGGAGAGAAAACAAAAACAGCTGTATTTAAGAGAAACTGTTTTCAGTTTTTAGCAGTAATTTCAGCACAGCCAACTGATTTATAAAGTTGCAAATGAGATTGGACTTTAGAAAAGATGGAGTTCAGACTCATACATTTTTATTTCAAAGCTCCTATTATGTTACATATAATTATATTATATTTCTTTTTTTTTTTCTGTTGGCACTACAGACCAAGAAGATCTTTGGCCGCGAGAAGTGGTCTCCTTACAGAGGTGTGCTGCTTGAGGGAGCTCAGATAGCCTGGAGGGGGTCACCCAACCTCACATTGCTACGAACCATGGTCTCCATGGTGCAGCGGCAAGCCACCTGTAGCTCCGTAGCCGATCCCTTTGGGGCCAATCTGGCAGTGTCCTTCCCACCGACTCACTCGGGTTCAAGGACAATGACAAATCGGTCTAGATCCATGGATTATGACTGCTCGGAGTCAGCAGGCGCATGAGGACCTATATTTCTTTCCTCGAAACAGATCGTCCACGGACCGAACCTCAGGGGGGCTAGTAACATCCTGGTAGACCACATCCCGATTCTCGATTAAGTACACGGGGTAGGGTCATCAGTCCTACGCCCGGTCTGTGTGAGTTGCCTCCAGTAAGCTGAAGGGGCCTCATATACCCGTGGGGAGGGGGAGGAGAGACTCGGGCAGCTTCGCTTTCCCCGGTGGCCGGTCACCCAAATCGGGCGGTCACCCATCCAAGTACTAACCACGCTCGACATTGCTTAATTTTGATTATCTATTGCAAGCGCCATAGCCCGTACAGCTACCCCAGCCCCGATTATATTATATATAAACAGCAAAATAACTATGCCAAACCATCTAACAACATTCGATGGGAAAACCATAAACAAGATAACTAATTCTTTTTGTAAGCACTATTGAAAAGTGGTAATTTCAAACCCAAAAAAGAAAATTGATTTTTCTCTATTATTAATATTTTTATTCTTATATAAGAATAAGATACTGAGAGGATATTCAAATGTAAGAACTAAAATAGTGCTCTTCCTAGAACTAAGTAAAAGAAAATTGTAAGACCAAATGACAAAACCATAAATTTTAAAATTACGCTAAAAAAAAAAACTACTAAATAAACTAATTTAAAATAACATTAATATTTTATTAGTTTTTAATATAATTCATTCAAAATAATGTTCATTAACAGAAATATTTTATGGAAGTAACATGATGAAGAAAAAAATTATAGTTTTATGATTATCGTTTCTGACTCCAAAATAAGTAAATATTAAAATAAAACAAATTAAAAACAGAAAAAAAAAATCATGAAATTTAATAAACATATATTTCTAATTCTTGGCACTGAAATGATGGATAGAAAGAGTAAATAAATATATCATCAATCTTAACCTATAGGTACAATCATTTTAATACTGATACGATACGATGATAACTTTATATAAATAAAGCTATATTATACTTATTTCTATCAATTAAACAATTTATATTTCTTTATAATTACCAACAGAAAAATATATTCATATTTAACAACTGAGAGGAAGCAACAATCATCACATACAAACATGAATTATATATATATATACATATACAGAATGTTCCATAAACAACTAATATATTTATTAATTTTTTAACTTTTGAAACAGTGTCTCAATATAACAGGTTGCCCTTCATAATTTATTACCTTTAATTATATTTAAATTTATATATAGGAATATTAATATATAAATACACAGACATATATATATATATATTAAGTATATGTGTGTATCTATGTATCAGGCAATTCAATATAACATGCATTACTGCAATCTGTGATGTCAGTAAAACTGTGAAATATCTTTTATATTAATTTATAATAAGTATAAATTAATATTAAAACATAGAAATTACCTCATACTTTCTTGGTAACATAAGAGGATATCTACAAAAATTTATCGGAATTTTTACATAGTGGATTTCACAAAATTAATAGAAAAAAAATTTTAAAAATAAGGAAAGACTTCTATTAGTACACAAGAAACTATATGATTTAATTATATATGGTAAAACCTAATAAGACAGTAATATGATTAAAAAAATTATAATAAATTTATGTTTGGGTCATTGCAGATATTAATTATACTAATACAAATCATTACTTTTTCAATAAAATACTATCAACTATATGAATCCAGAAATAAAATAAGTATCTTGTTTTCAATAACTTTGAACTAATCAAACAAAATTTTTGTTTTATAATGTGAAAATAAAATATAATTATTTTTATAAACATAACAAATGTTAATAGCGTAATAAATTAAAGAAATGAATAAACACTAAATACGTTTAAGAAAACTATAGCTGGTAACATAGGAAGTTGAAAAACATTATGTCACAAATGAGTCATAAATTATCATATCATTTTTAACAAATTCAGACCCAGGAAAACTTAATATTAACAATCCAATAAAAATAAAAATATTCTTCCTACCTAAAGTATCATCTTCCCTGTACGAATATTTCAATAAAGATTAAAAAGGAACTATATTCATTTTTTTTAAAAGCTCAGAAATGTCGCAAAAAAAACGATGTACCAGTAATAATATAAAATAAAATTTTCTTATATTAAAAATATTTTCTTATTAAAAAGGAATTTCTTACCAAAAATTAAGAAAAATGGTTTGATATATCAATATAAGAACCAGAATTGAACAAATAGTAAATGTATGGACATTTTTTTAAAGACAATAATGTTCTTGATAGGACCAACATTTAAAAGAGTATTTTTCATATCACTGATTTTGCTTAAAATATTTCCGATATACCGAAATTGTTAAAAATAAACACTATCTATTTATATATTAATTTTAATATCTTAACAAATCCATCACAATTTTTAATATTATTTTTATATAATAATGATAAATGTATCTTTAATTTTCCAATAAAACATTGATTATTATCCAATTTCTTCCTAACATGTCCAAATTGTTATTATGTTTGATATAATTCTATTAGAAAATTAAAATATAATGAAAAAAATAAAATATTTGCTAATAAAAACATTCATGAGAACTATGGTGTATATACTCCAGATTGCATAACAAGTAGGCTGATTGATAACGATGATATGGTTTCTAATAATAATTAACATCAACCTTTCCCATTTTTGTGTGTTTATGTACATATACACAAACAAACAAAAAATTATAACAATAATTATTCTAAATAAATTGAAGGAATAATGAGGTGAAGCAGGAATCAGTAAAATGGTGAACAAACCATTCTAACTAGGCTCTCTTTGGACTGATTAATTATTCTGAATAACTTAACTGCAGGAGACTTTCTATGCAGGTAGGTTTGGCAACTCAGAAATTCCTCGCTGTCTCATCCCTGACCAAGCCCTCACAGGGCTTGGAAGATCAATGACTCCACGAGGAAGTGCTTCGACGGATAGGCTAACACCTGTTTCTGGAAGACCATTGGATTTTAAACGCCTCTGTGCAGCGATTGTAGCACGCAATGTTTTTCTTTTCTAAAATTAAAATAGTAGTTGTCTATTATACTTTTTGTAACATATAATATAAAATAAATTGTTTAAGCAAAATAAAAATATTTTTAAATCAAGAAAGAAAGAAATGTTTAATTTTCATTTCATAATAATCAATTCATACAAATAGCTAGTCTCAGAGGTCTTATGTATAGAACTAACTGCCAAGCATTAACAATAATACCGACAGACAAATTGCTAAGAATTAAAAAGAAATTACTGTTGGATTCTACAACAAACCCACAGTATTGTGAAGTAAAAAATATTTAACTCGAACCAATTTTTTAACCTTCCATTAGTTATGTGTATCCTAAGGTTTTTTAAATGTTGGATTAAAACTAGAAAATTTAAAGCCTGAGGAAGAAAATGAAGCTAGAAGGGACCAGTTGAATTCCTTTCCTCTTTTAGGTGATGAAATAACCATCAATTACAAGATGGATAAATAGCTTTTTTTTTATTTATCTTTCTTGATTGCATTACATCTAAATTAGCTAACCTTTTTTTTATTTTTAAGAAAATTTAAACAGAGGAAATGGAATATTGCCACCATTATGAAAATTCTACTGTCTCATAAATCCATAGCTAGTCTCAGGACAGCCTCACAGTAAGTATACATATAAAAGTGATTTATACACACACCAGATAAATACATATACTGCTCAAAAATGAATAGGAATATTTATATTTGATGCTTATTTTATTCGTTTAAATAAAATACCTTTTTTTTTTTGTTCGTTAGGGATTTTCTTTTTTGTTGGTAAACATAAAAAATAAAAAAGTATTCTTTATTTTTAATAAATTATTAATTAAAGGTTAGTTAGTCAACATGAAGAATACTCATTTTGTTAACCAACAGTTGTTTCCCACTTTTCTCAATTCCGATCCCATAATATTCTGTTTAACAAAATAAAGACATCATATTGAACCAGAAATTTGCAATATTATCGTGAGAATGAGCGCTCAAATTTACCGGCTAGTGGATATTACCAATGCAGTTGGTGGGTTTCAGATTTTTGTTTCTCAAACCTTAACCACATTCAGAAAACTGGATATACCAATAGGAAACCTGTTAGTGGATTTCAGCACATTACGGCACCAAGGGATGATAGAAATATTGACATAACTCCAAGAAGCAACTCTATACAACACATTGTGCCTGACAGAGTCTAGGGACGGGGTGGCGGAGTGGCCTAACGCGTGTGCAACCTGATAACCAAGTTACAGACGACAAAATAATTAAGAGTTGCCGTCCCGGTGATAGCAGGTCTTTTAACTCTGTCATTAATCCTCCAAAGTGCCTGACAGAGCCTTAAAAAAAAAAAAGTACCTACATAGGTATATAATATAATATATTAAAATATTGGTAATGTGACTATTGATATAAAAGTATTATGAAAGAAGTGGTGTATCTTTTCTTTAACGGAGTGCTGCCTTGAGAACCATCACTATTCATTTTTTATCTGTGTACATATGTATATATATATATATATATATATATATATATATATATATATACATGGATAAATTTAGATTCTTACTCAGGAGTTTATATAACAAAAAGAATCTTTCAAGGAAAGCCAAAATTAGACATTATGAAACAGTCATAAAACCAGTGATACTCTATTACAGATACTCAATGGAGCAGAGACTATGGGATTTACCAACATAATTAAGAATAGAAAGATTCTCGGAATAATTGGGCCAAGAAGGGTGAGGGAAGAGTAACGATTAAAAAAGAACAATGAGCTTTGTAAACATATTGAAAACTTAAATATTGATAAGGAAAAGGAGAGTAAAATTCTTTGGACATATTAATAGAATGAATCGGAATAGATTGAACAAGACAATGTTTGATAAAGTGATGGAACTGAAGAACATATAAGGATATCCAGAATAAATAAAAGAAGAATCAGGACAAATGGGTTTCAAAGAGGAAAACTATCGAGATAGGAAAAATAGTGAAAAATCTGGTGCGCGCAACACACAACTTTCACTTACCGCTCATCTTTGAATAGAAATTGTTTTCTGGCCATGTTGGGCTTTTACAAAAATTTTTAATTGCATATTTTAAAAATTGCAGCTAACAAATCATAAATACTATTAAAATAACAAAAGTCCTATTCATTATTTCACTGGTTGATTATGGATTGTACGATTTGTTGATTATGGATTGTAAGACTATTAGTTATTAAACTTTTACTTTCCATCTCAAATTTTATTAAAATGGAATTAAGAGATTTGCATTGTCTGTCATAGACAGGTCAAAAGTTGTCACACTAATTGTAAGTGGACTCTGTTGTAATATCGCAAATGGAAAATTTATCAAACTGTTCAGTAATTTAATTTTATAAAAGGTTACATCATGATTTTTCTTACATTATCAGTTTTCAAAAATTATTATTTATAATTTTTTCAATGCTCTCCATTACCTTCCACAACTTTCTATATTAGATATTGTTTTTCTAAAATTCTCCGCTTTTCAACGATATATTGTAAGTATACCTTCTGACTTGTATTTCCGGAGATTCATTTTCGACCTGTATAAGTATTTTTATTTTGTTCTCCTTTATTCAATTATCAAATTCTTTCAAAAGTTATATTTAGCATTTTTTCGTAACTTTTAATAATGAGAGATAGTTGATTATTTAAAATAAACCATATTAAAGGTACTTTGAGAAAGACGCATATCAACATTGGGCATTTAAGCCCTGTAAAGTGACATCAATGGGGATAAGACCTAAATGATATTAAAGACCACTTAATTATACAATGATACACCGAGTTTAATCAAAATGGTTAGAGCCGTTTTTGAGAAAATTGTAAAAATGTGTTTCAGCATTGATATAAAGTAGCAAAGGGTTAGCCGATTTTAAGGAAAAATTTGCCAGGACATCTAAGGCATATATCTATCTTAATTATGTAATATCAGTTTCATACGACTTTTCAGTTTCGAGCTAGAGTGTTCGTTCATATACACACAGACCATTTTTCAGGACTTGGTTGTTTGGACTCAGGGGTCTAAAAGTGGGATACCTGTTGTATACTTAATATAATTTTCTTTTATTTCGGTGTCATATAGTATTTCAGTTCATATTTCATAAGCCAATATTACACTAATATAATAATGCTTTTATTTCCAATCGTTATTTTGGAAAGACGACATTTTGGCTTATCGAGCCATTTTCAAGTATAAAAACAAATTTTTATTATTAGAGTTATTTACAATATTATTTGTTAAATTTTTCTTGCATAATTATTTGTAGAATCATTCAAATCAAATATGTTGAAATACCTAACAAAACATGTTGTAAATAACTATATAATTATAAATATTTATGATTTTTTAAAAACAGAACTTAGCTTAGTTTAGCTGCTCAAAAGTCCTCTTTAAATAGTTTTAATAATGAAAAACTCTATCTTCATTTGAAATGAATTCTGTCTAGTTTACAATGAAGCAATGGTTAAGTACATAAATTAGATATTTCTTTAGCTCTCTTCCTATTAAAAAAAAACAACATAAAACTTGGATTTTCTACTTCTGCTAAAAATTGAGCAACTGTTTATATAAACCATTTTTGAAGCTCTTGAGGACTGTTATAACTTCTTTAAATATTTTTCACGATTTACGGGACACCATGTATATGCTCCATAAGGGATTGCACTCTATGACCTTGGTGAAATAAAAAGTTGCTTCATAAAATCAACTCCCCAATCATATACTTAATTTTGCGAAGCTAGCCAAATATTAATGAAATATTGAGGTTGAGAGGTCTAAAAACATTAGATATCAACAATAAGTGTAGCTAGTAATTTTTGTCAAAGTCTGAAGGGTTCGAAAAATTGACCACCAACTTCTTCCAACCAGACTTGACCAATAGCAGATGCTGCAGAATGTAGAAATTTATAAGAGGTTCTTTGTTAGCTCCAATTTTTATCAAACAATTTATATCTTTTTTAAGTTCTTTTTTCATTTTTAACAGTGATGTTTTTATTTTTCATTATTTGTAATGTAGCTAAACCATGATCAGCTTTTTTGTATTATTATCTATTTTAACCTTTCACAATGAATCATAAAAGTGATGTTATGGTTGATAAACACACTTTTTCAATCTTGCAAAGTTAATATGTTACTATTAGAAGAGCATTAAAAGACATTCTAAATGTTTACAGCAGCAACTCACTCTCAACTCTAATATTGGAGATAGAAAAATTAGAAGAAAAAAAGGTAGGAAATTTTATTATTATTATTGTATGTACCTAGAGTTAAAATTCAATGTCTCTGTGAAATTAGAATAGCTTTAGTAGACCATTGGAAAACTGATGAAATAAGATAACATTTCTTTTTTGTAATTCTCAAGGTCATAGCTCATTTGATTTATTACGTGAGATTCTACCTGATATTTCTGAAAATAACTTATTTGCTTTAGCCACTACAATAGGATAGCACATAGATTTTCCAAAAATCAATTGTTATGTTATAGAAAATTCTTTTTAAATTCCAAAAATGGGCCAAAACCTATTGACTGGTGCAGGATAAAGCCTAAATTATTCAAATATATGAAAATGTTTAGTTTTTTAAGACATGAGAGTTAAGTACAATTTTGAAAACTTAATACATATAGAATGTTGATGGGAAAGTGTTACAAGTAAATGACTAGTTGAGGTCACGATGGCCGAGCATGTTAGAGTGTAAGCTTTAACATTCTAGAATCTAGCGACGCCGATTCAATTCTATTCTGAATATTCTAGTTGATTTTTATTTCATGGTGGACCCACACAATGTATCTCAATCTTTCCACCCTGGTTAGAATAGGTTTGGTTGTACCTCTAGTACAAAATGGATTTTAATTTTTTCTTACATCAACATCTTAAAAATATTTCACTAATATATACTGTAAATTTATATTAACAAAATATATATTGTAAAAATACACACAAAATAGTAGAACTTCCATATTATATAGAAAATAACAATAATCACATAATTATTAAATTCAATGTTTGTCTTTCAGGTGAATTTTATTCTTTAGGTGAGAACTATTCTTATTACATAAAGGACATAGCTAATGGAAGGTTAATATATGTGGAGGTGCAAAAAATAAAGAAGACAAAATAAGGAATATTTAGCATAAATAGACATTAACATCACATGCATATTTTAGAAAATATTCTGATTCTTTAGTAAATTTCATAAAAATACCAACTTGCACTTAAAATAAAAATAACTAGACAGAAAAAGAATGTTCCTGAAAGAGGTTTCCAAATTACTGGATAGAGGGGCTGGTTGCTTTGTGTATACCTACTTGCAATGATGATGTATTGAACCAATTTGAGCTCTAATATATTTTCAAGAATCTTTTTCAATATTATCTGAGAGTATCTCATCTTTTCTATGCTTCTTTTCAATAGATGTAACTGGTCTTCTTTAAAATTTTACTGATATTGCAGGGCATATATTAATTCGAGTATGAACGAGATGGAGCTAGTAGTAGAATAACGATTTCTAGTGTTCACTTTCCTTTTTCCTTTACTATTCTTATAAAAATTAATATATTTTTGCCATGACTTTTATTTCAATTCTTGATAGAGTAAAAAACAAAAAGCCACTAACAATCAATACATTACAATTGTTCAACAATCAGTTCTCTATTAAAATTGGCTTTTCCATCTGACAAAAATAAAGAATCTTCAATAGTTTTATGAAAAAATCGGTCAAAGAGATTTCCTTCCTCTGAATAGTGATAATACATCAAATTACCAAAAATTAATGCTTCAGTATTTTATGAACAGATCTAATATGTTTAACTTGTCAATAAAAATAAAATTTCCATTTAATATCAACCACCTCAGTTTTAGAATCTGCTTGAAAGTACAATAATAAATTAAATCTTAAGTTACAATAAATTAAGTCTAAAAGTCATTATACAATATTTTTTGTTTATAAGAAAACTGAACTGCAATGAAATATAAATCCTATAATAATTTCTTTTATAATGATGTATAGATGGTCGACTGTGATATAATATGAGAAGGAATTGGTCGGGGGGTGCGGTCAAATAAATACTAAATTTTTAAAAAATAGTATTTTTAATTATTATGCCGACATTTCGACCCACCTTGCAGGTCTTCATCAGGGCGTGGCATGTGACACTACAGGAGGCAATTGATTGACGAGCAGTTGAATGTATTGAATGTGTTCAACTAGACCTGTTTCAACTGCCAGTCAATCAACTGCCTCCTGCAGTGCCACTTGCCATGCCCTGATGAAGACCTGCCTGTAAGGTGGGTCAAAACATCGGCATAATATTTAAAAATATTATTTTTTTAAAATATAGTATTTATTTGACCGCATCGCCAGACCAACTCCTTCTCAAATTTCTTTTATAAATCATGATATATTAATAAATTCTATACCAATAATAAACGGCTAAAATAAATAATAATAAACAAATCACATAAATAATACATTAATAGAACACGGCTCCACAAAACAAGAAAAATATCTGATAAAATAATTATCAATAAGAAACGTAAGAAATTATTGGATCACTTTAAGAAGACATAAAGAAGAGATGAATTTGTTTTGTAAAATTAATCAATAAGACCATTTAATTAACTAAGCAGTCAATCAATCATTTCCAGTTCCTTTGATCATAAATAAAAAATGTATCAAAGTATTTTTTTTTTAAACTAAATAATCAAAAATTTAATTCCAAATTGCAAACAATACACGACCTCTCACTCAATAACCATGATGGCTATCAAATTATTCTATAAATCTATAAAAATTGTATACTAAATCTCAAAAGATGAGGCAAAGATCTAAATATTTAAAAATATGAGCAAAGGGTACTGTTCGATACCCACATTTTTAATTTAAAGAATAGAGGTGAGAAATTTGAGTAGAAATAAAGTTATTTGGTTTAAAATTTTATCTTATATCAGATATTTTGAATAATAGAGATAAATAATTTGTTCCTTAGACTTGAAGAAGTAACAAATTTTCTAAAATTATTTTCGAGTAATCCTTAATAAGGTTGTCTTTTATTTTTTATTAAAGCATCAATAAAAAAATTAATTGTAAAAGAATTTGAGCCAATCATGTTTTATTTATTAAGAGTCATTTGAATCAACTTGATTAACAATCCCTATATAGCTTTTAAACCAGAAACTATGAATTAAATAATTACAATATAATTATTAAAAGTCTGTTCTCCTGTTTTCATTTTAATCAAAATGAAAAATTCTCTTTTTGAAATGATTACTCATAGTAGTCATTTTTAGAAACTTTAAATTCAATTACAATAAATATTTTAAATGAAAAACAAATCATCAGTTAATTAAAAATTTAGTTACATAATCTCTGTATAATTTTGATTTAAGAAATAACTGTTACAGGTTTAATTATTACTAATAAACAATTTTTTTTCTATTAAGATTAAATTTATGACAAGTTGAAACAATCAATAGAACTATAAATTAATTAATATCTCCTAGAAACTAATCAGATGACTGATTAATATTTGATTCAGATTCTACCTCTATAACTCCTCTCCATTTATCAGCCGCATGTCTTGCAAGTTCCATCCTCTTTTGCTTCCTGATCTGATGTTTCTTATAAGCCATTTCGATTATAATAAGGGCTATCCCTCCAAGAATACCAACGGCGACTAATATAAACACGCCAGCCATATTTTTTAATCCAAGAGTATTAGGTGTCTTCTCGTATTGTTCGCACTGTTGCACATTTCCTTGCAGTATCCATTTATTGTCCAAGCTTTCCATAAAACCACCTTAAAACATCATTTCAATCAGTTGCAAACATCACTGAACCAATAAGTTCCATAAAATTGTAAGTAAAATATTGTAAATTTGTTTTCAAACAATACACATTTTAAACAGGCAGTAAGTAATTACTCTCATGAAAATCAAGTATGGCAAGTGTAACAGCATCAGCCCAAGCAGATCCTTTTTGCAAACCTATACCATAGCCACTCCTTCCAAACAGTTCTCCAGCAGTTACAAGTTCACAGTTTTGTGCAGCTTCAAAATCCAACCGAGAACTGTCCCATATGAAAGCCATCAATTTCCTAATAAACCAAATTTACTTCAATATATTTTATCTTTAAATATAGTATAATATAATTAACCAAATTTTTAAAAATTAATCCAATTTGTAATGAAAAATATTTGTTTCCTTTTGATTTTCTTATACATATATATTTTTTAAATACAAAGAAAATTTTATAAAAGAAGTAATTATAATAAAACTTAATTAATTCTTGTTAACAAAAAACACCATTAACTTTTATAAAACTGTTTCTCATTTAAACTAGCAACTTTTTTCAAACATTTAAATAATTTTCAATGAATGAATGATGTATAATACAGTGAGAAAACAAGAACATGACAGTGCTAAATAAATTATATTCACCCAATTTTAACATCATGTATTGCTTCTTCAGCAGTATTATAATTGTTAGCTTCCATAGTTCGATACATATTAGACAGTTCCACCTGCCTTCTAAAATACATGTCCACAGCAGACCCTTTAACAGTAGCACACGTCAGATTTTCCATTGTATTCCTCAACTGAACATAACACAAAATTATTAATAAGATTATATTAACTACTAACCAATATTTTTAAATATCACAAAACCATTACCCGAGCATCATTGATTCCAGATAATTTTGTCTTTGGTCTCTCCAACACAAGGAAAGCTGCCAAGTTGGCAGTATAAGATGCTACAATGATCATGGCGAATCCTGCCCAAACCATTCCTAGGACACGTGCTGAAAAACTCCTTGGTGTTCCTGAAAATCATTTAAAATATAATTAAACTTAATTAATGATACCAATTTAAGTTGTCTAACATACAAAAGTTTACATCTATAAACTGATAAAAATTTCAATTTACCTTCACCAATGCCACTGTTTAAAAGAACTCCCCAGGCGAACCAAATTGCGCTCGATAGATTCAAAGCATCTTCTTCAGTACCATCAGTATTAGCAAGTTTAAATCTTCCAAAAGGAGAAAATCTATCAAGCAGATATAGCACGAGAGCGACAACATGGACAGAAACCATAACTAATATCCACAAGGTGTTTGAAAATGGTTGAAGAAATGACACTAGTGTTGATGAACGAGATGGCTATAAAAGAAAAATAATATTAAAATTTGACTTCAGAAGTGTTGGCAAAACATAGCACTTTATACCTCAAGATGGCTAGCGTAAGATGGGACCTCGACCAATCGGGATTAGACTATAGTTTATTGGCCTTTATCTAGACAACTCTTGGTTATTGTGCTTCCACAATTCAGTGTGCTTTGAGCCTATTTCATTTATGATGTTTATCTTTAGATTTTTGCATATATTTCTATTATTGAAGTGAAAACTTTTTTTAGGCACGTTTTTGCACTTTTTGTGGAGAGTGAATCAGATTGATCCATCAGATTTCCGAAGTTTTAACGCTCGGATAAAGTCGGCTAGAGTCGACTAATTGAAATGTTTTTACATACTGGTTAAATTTCTCAGAAACTAAAAGTCGGACCTGTATATTGTAAGCAAGGGAAATGTTCAGCATTTCATCTTCATTGTAATGATCTATTATTTATAATTTATATTTCATATTATTAATCTCGCTTACACACCTTAGTTTTTTATTTCTAGATAGTCTATATCTTTCCTTTATTATATATTTTTTTTTTAAATAATATTTTAGCTATTATTCAGGTACAGAGAGAGATCTTTAAAAAAAAAGTCATTCAAATAGATTATTCATATATTATTGAGTTTTGCCTGGTATTTTAAGTTTAATAATAAGGCTGAGTTATATCTGTACTGTACAATTTTTATCATTATCTACCTATAAACGACATATTAATGCCCACCTTTTAAAAATGATGTTTCTTTTGTAATTTGTTTTAATAAAAAATATCAGCCTCGTAATAAAAAGAATATAGTAAAATATTATTTTAAGAATTAAAGGGGTATATCTGATCTTGAATTTATTACTTCTCATTAGTGCGATCACTTCAGTAATAAATATCAAACATTTGTCATATGTTATAAAAAAATCACATTAGTTTATTTCTGTCAACCAACCAATATTCGGATCCTCTAGGGCAAGGGTCCTCAATCCAGAACTCGCATGCACCACATAACCTATAAATGTGACCACAGATGAAAAAAGGTTGGTGACTCCTGCTCTAGGGCATATTGCACAAGGAAAAAATTAACATATATAATTGTGCAAACACCACTCCACTCATCTTATGAATATCAAGTGCCATAATACGCCAATCTTATCATAACCCACAACCAACATATCAGGTATGGCAGTTAATAATTCTTAATTTTTTCTCTCTCAAAAAAAGTTTAAATTTGGAGAAAGGTAAAAAATAGTTTATTCAAAGTACGCACCATCACTAGTTACACATTTTCCCCATCTCTCTGGCAATTTGTTGATGCCGCCCAGAAAAACATCTTTTGAGATAGTCCAATCGTCAATTCATTTTTCAACATCTTCACATTTGTTGAATTGTTTCATGGAGAGTGTGTGAAGCATCGATGAAAATCAATGAGTCTGGGGAATAGGTCAGGTGGGGCAAGAGTTCATAACAAGTTTAGAAATAGTGTCTTTCACTGCTTTAGCTGTGTGTGAAGGAATGCTGTCATGCTGCAAAATTACTTTTCCATGTCTTGCAACCCATTCTGGTTGCTTTTCAATCAATGGATGGTTCAAATGGATCATTTGTTGATGGCACCAACTGTTTTCAGAAGCTCACAGTAAGGGACATTGTTCTAATCCCATCAAATGAACAGTATTGGTTTTCTTTCCAAAGCGATTCAGTCTTGTGGTCGATAGTGATGATTGTCCTGGTTAAACTCATGATTTTCTGAGTTTTCAAAATACATCCATTTTTCATCTCTTTTTTTTTTTCGCTTTTTCATCTGTTGGTCATTCATCTTCCCATCTTTCCCATAGCAAGCAGATGATCACAAATGGTTTGGTGACCGACATTTAACTTCTCTGACATTTATTGTTGAGTTTGCGAATCATCTTCGTCCAACAATCTTGCAACTCAATTTTTTCAGTTGACCTGGACTTCCTTTGTCTTTCAAGTCAAAATCACTATATTTGGATCATCTAAACCAAAGCACACAAGTGTCTTCAACTAGAACATCACTGTAAGTTTCCACTAGTATATGACATGTTTCATTCGCGTTTTTCTTTTGAATGAACGAGAAAAGTAGTATATGTCACAAATGCTCTTTATTAGGCTTGAAACTTGATGTATTTACCACACAAAAAAATATGAGTTTATACTATAATCTTTTAAATATCAAAGGTGTTTTCAAAGGTACTGTCATAAGAGGTTAGACTATGAAGAAATCCATGTTTCTAGCCTCATCTCTTAGAAAAATTAAGAATTATTTTCCACCACCCCTGTTAAATAAATATTTATACCTTTTTTTCTAAAATCGTAATTCCTTGGTACTTGAATGGCTTACTAAACTCAATAAATTCTGCTCTTTCTGGATTTATAGTAAGTGGAGCAACAATCATATCAGCTCTATCATTTACAAGTTCTCCGATGAGGCCAGTCCATTCTTTTTTTCCACCAGCTGAAATGTTGATTTAAAGATGAAATTTTTGAAAACAAAAATTTCTTTATTAAAAAAAATTTGTTATAAAATAATATAATATGTTAATTTAAAAAAAAAGGAATTAGGCTAAATGCATTCCTGGATATTTGTGAGGCATGATCTACCACTAAAGGGATTAAGTTTTCACAAATTTCATAAGGGAATCAAGTAGAAGGAATGTGACTCAAAAATTAAATACATTTTTTTAATGGCCTTCAATTTTTTTCGTTTTAATTTTTATACACTATTTTATTAAAATTTTCTTAAAGGATTCAGGTGAAATTTACTGAAAGATGAAAGAAGATTGAGCTCTTATTTTTTAAAGTAATACTTTTGCAATAGATTTTGAGAAAAAGGGCTAAAACATAAATACGAGAAAAATTAAATGGCACATTACAAAGGGGTACCCTTGTTTCAGATAGAGAGCAGAAAAGGTAAGATAATCTATTATTTATGGATTATAAATAGAAAGTAACAAACAAGTTTTGAGAATAACTGAATTAAATGTATATATATATATGCATTATACTAATGAATGGTGAGTTTTAAGAAAACTAAAGGAACCGGAGTCATGTACCACCCTCCACCAATTGTTCTTATCTTTTGTAGCCGCCATCCAGCTCCTCACTCCCAACATGGACCTGGCATCACTAGCCACACCGTCACTCCACCGAAGCCGAGGTCTTCCTCTACCCCTTGTTCCATGTATTACTTCTATAATGTTTTTGACTGCTTTGAAAAATTCCCTGTACTGCTAATTTCTCCTAAGAAGTTCAGTCTTTTTTTTTATTCTTCCTTTTTCCCTTATCCGTTAATTCTGCTATGGGAATTTCAAAACCATACTAATTCAAAAGAAATATAAGTAAAAAAGTACCAGAACTATTTTTTATTATATAATTCCCAAATTGACCATCAGGAGATAAAGCCAGGTCAAAAGTAAAATTAATCGTCCGAGCCAGTTCTTTTAAAAGGTCCATACAAAAACCTCTGCAACAGTACATTTCTCCTGCAAATGACATGTTTCTTACTATAACCATTATACAATATTATATTAAATTTTTCATTTTCTATTTATGTTCAACTAACCTGGATCATTTGTGCTATTAAAATGAGGGCACTTTATTTCATCAGCAGTACAATTCTTATCGTCATCTTTAAGTAGCCGAGTGTATACAAATGGTTTTTCTTCGATAGTCAGAACTTTAAGATGAGTAGGCAGAATGAAGCCTTCCGGTTTGGTGTGAACTTTTCCAGGCCAAATGATTTTATTGTCAGCAATGGCTAATCGCATTTTATCAGTTTTCTATGAAATATCAAATTAATTTTAAATTTTATTAAGTTTATTCTAATAAAAATGGAGTTTAAGTGAATAAAATTAAATTAGCTCACTGGATCATAAGTATAGGTACCAACAGAAGTATGATTACTAGGACCTTGTACATTAACAATATCATATTCTGCATTGATTCTATCACCATTATCATCAAAAGCTACTTTCATTCCTGTAGCACCCTTAATCAGAACTTGGTTCCTTATATATCTGAAATTGATGTTTTTTAAAAGTTTAATATGATCCTGACCCTACTATGCTCCTCTATATAATGATATTAATTTTTACTTTTTGAAATTTTATTTGTCATTTCATTATGCTATTTCAGGAATTTCTCAATAATGCGATTTCTTCTTTATTTATGGACTAAATATTAATTTATTAGTCTTATAATAATAATAATAACCTATCATTGTTTAATCATTTATTATTTATGGACTAATTAATTAGTTGACTATTCAAAATGAGCAAATACTTCAAATTTCATCAACAGTTTTTGACAAAATTTATCCTCACACAGCAGGAATGAAATAGTTTTATTATAATCCATCTAATATTAATTTTTTTTAAGTTTGTTGAAATTCAATAATGCATCTAAGTTTTATGAGCATAAGTCAAAAAGAGCAATTATTATTATTCATTTATAGTAATCTAACAAAAACTAAAATTTAGTTTTGTTATACTACATTTAAATATGGCCAAAACAAAGATAATATTTGTGTTAATGCTTTATCTGGAAAATAAAATATCAATATTCAACATTCTTAAGCCAATCATAATTCTTAACAATATTGATTTGGTAACATTTTCATGTAAGTAGCTAGTTACTATTTCTGTTGGAACAATAAGTTAAACTTCACAAATAGTATTAAGCAGCCAGTTTTAAACCTATATCTCTTAGATTCATAAACAGTGATGATAACTACTATGCCATAAAATTGTTTAAATATAAACCAATAATTTATTCTAACACTTACTCAAATAATGTTTTACCAGTTTCCCAAATTGATCCAGAATTATCACAGTCTTTTGGAGCTTCAGTAATATTTTTGGTTTGATTCATCCCTCTTAGTGCGGATGCAAGAACATAACTGAAAATATAATGAAACTTAGAATGTATAAAATCACAATATCTACTTATTTAGTAGAATATTAACTATCTGAAAAAAATTTATATTAGTTACTTATGAATAAGGAGTTCTCTAAGCATGCTTAACAGCGAAGTTCTTAAAGTTAGGTACATAAGTGTGGTTAGAACTTGCTACAAAATGGATCTTTCACTCTGAGTGTGATTTGTGATTGTGTGATCCATACTGTCAAGAGCATCAAGCAATAAACAAGTAAGGCCCATTTGCTTCCTGACTTACAACCAGTGCCGGCCTAATGGTGCTAGGGCCAGGCAGCTGGAGCAACTGCCCCAGAACTTCGACCTGGAAAGGGGCACTCGCCGCTTGTAGTAATACTATTAATAAAGTAACTGAATTAGAGACATATTGAATGAAATAAAACTCAAATATTACTTAATATAAAACAATTTAAGTAATAAATTAATTTTTTTGGGAAGAGTTGACTTCATTCTCCAGGAGCACCCAATGTCTACGGCCAGCACTGCTTATAACAACCAAGGATAAGACTGATTAAAACTACATTGAATATCCTAATTGGGAATTATGCTTTAATTTTAAATCACATCCTCCACCCATATACTTGCCAGAAGCTCCTTCTCTTCTCCCCAAGTAGTACTATGGGCTATACTATAAGTTCCTAAAAACATCAATGGATCCATATATGGAATTCCTGTTCGTTTATTCTGAACTTCCATGCCTTAGCTGAGTTCCATCAGCTTGTATAGTCAATGAATCCACTGGATTAACTCATTATAACTACAGTATTGTTATTTCTCAATTTACTTAACATATTTATATCCAGTTTACTTTCTATCTATATTTATTTATGTGTTCAACAATTCATAGGTAAATATTTCCTTTTATATACATGCTGTTTTTTTCATGTGTTTGATAGCCTTTCAGGAATGATAACCTTCTCTGGAATCCAACAGGTTTCTAAATCCAGTATAAATTGCTGTATATCAGTGTTGAATTCAATTGTTTGATGGATTCTTTCAATGAATTCAGGACTGATTTTAGGAATTTTCTCTGCATTAGACCAAACATTTCCTTTCAATTGTATAAAAAAGTAGTGATCTGGTCATTAGCAGAGGAAATTGCTCTCTGTCAGGAAACATTCTCTTAAAACCGTATTGCTCCGAATAGATTGGTGTCGAGGGTCTCATAGATAGTACAAACTACTAAAATCAGTTCACTGCTCTACACACACCTCAAAAGCATAAGAAAAAACTTGATACTCCAAAAGAGACTTCTCCAACAACTCAATTCAAATGATGTTTTGCAACTCAATTTTGAGAAATTTTACAGGTGTGCAAAACCAAAATCTACAAAAAAAAAAAAAAAAAAAAAAAAGAAGGAAAAAATGGCAATTTGAGAAAAATTCATTGAAACTTACATTGAATCTTGAATATGAGCCCTTTCATCAGTAGCATGTACTAGCTTTAGACCAATAGCTCCTATTGGTACATTTTGAACATCAAGAGCTTGCTCGGTTACAATCCAAACATAACCAGCATAGGTCATATTAAGGGCAGCAGCATCTTTAAATATTACATTTGCATCCTTTTTGCTATTTGAAAAAGAATAAAGAGGATCTGTTTTATTTAATAAGAAATAAGTTAAAATACAATAGTAAAATATTTATTTTGATACCTGGCATACAATAAATAAACTCTAGCCTGGGCATCTTTCATTTCATATAGTTGAGCTGTATAATTGTTTAAACCAGGTTCAAACTCAATAACAGATTCCACCTGAAAATATACGCATTTCCTGAGTTGAATACAATGTCATACAAATAAATTTTATATAAAAGAAAGTGACTTCATATAACATGAACAAACATTGACAATAGCATTGAGGGCAATTATATATAATTACTAAGTAACTGAAAGTAAGTCCTTACTTATTAAAGATTTCTAAAAATTTTTATATAAATAAAATCATTTAATCCATGCAATTCAACATGCACTCAAAATCTCACTATCGAAGATTTTCTTGAAATTTGGTAGACAGGTGTATACTATTGGTATGGATTAGGAAAAATATGAAATTTTACAAGCCTTTGATCATTTTTAACATTGGAGGACAATAGCCAATGTTATTTGACATTGATGTTATAATATTGGGGAGTCAGGAAATTTTATTTTTCAGCAGGGAAAAGTAAGGGATTTAATTTATTTCAAGAAAAAATGGCTTTATGATACATTCTTAATTTTAAATTTCTAGTTATTTTTGCGATTACAATCCCTTTGAAAGAAAGCTCTGTTTGCACTTATTATATACAGGTCTATTTGACTATTAGACATTCATTGATGTTGGAGTGGCGTTCCACCTGGGTCAGTTAATATTTATTTCTTGGTGTCCCGAAAAAATCTTAACATATTCACAATCTATATCATGGGTGATAAATATTCAGGAAGCAGACTTCTTTTAAAAAAAAAATTAATTTTTTATTTATGCCAACGTTTCAACCCAAACATGTTGGTCATCTTCAGGGCCTGGTTTGAGCACTGAGGGTGTTTAAGTACTCCATGAGTACTTGAACAGCCTAAAAAAAAATAAAAATATTTTTTAAAAAAATATATTGCGACCTGAATCTTTATCACCCATGATATGTAGAACAGTCGACTAACTTCCTTCAATAATTCACAATCTATAGGTAGGTAGCCATTAGAAGTTGGCAAAAAGGACTTCAAAGCCATTTAACTGACTAGTTCTTCCCACCAGTACCAATACTAGTGTTTACAATCGCCCAGGCTGTTACCAGACTTTACAATTCTACATAGTATAATGTATGAAATTTATTTAAAAATACAGAAAAATGGTGATAATCTTTTATTACCAATATTAAATCCATTAAAATGAAGCCTATTACAATACAATCAATACCTGTATTTTGATTTCTACATCATCGTCATGGCTTTGTGAAGTTGTCTGAAACCTTCCAAGTATAGCTCGACCATCAGTATCTGAACTATGAATGAAAATTACTTTTAAATAATTGAAATGTTTCAGTAGATCAACCCAAACATCAGCTTGGTGTGAGTAAGGTGGAACTGTGCGAAGGAAGGAAACATGTATGTTCTAAATAAAACAAAAAAATTATAATAATATACATAAAAATAATAATACGCCAAGAAATCCATAAAAAAAAAATTAATAAAGTACCTTATCTGAAAAGGCTGAATCTCTTGAAGAAATCCCTATAACTGGGATATGATAGAACCCACTAGTGTATGAGACAGCAGCAGGGCTAAGATCTCCAGTTAGAGGATGAGAAACAACTACAGCATATACCTACAAAAATGTTTTTAATAAATATTTCAAGTTATTATAAAAATAAACCTTTTTAAATCATTTAGTAAAGTGAACCTTGAGGAGCTAACTCCCACAATTGTATTTCTATTTATATCTATATTAAATTATATGTTTTGATAAAAATCTAAACAAAAAAAAGTTTCATTATTGCCCCAATCAAAACCTACTATACAAAAAAGTGCACCAAAAAATAAAGTTAAACAGTTAAGAAATAATCACGACTCATGAAAAATATGTAACTGAAAACTGATAAGAAGGTTACATACTTTTGTGTTGCAGAAAATTCTCAAAAATAGCACAATACTTGCTAATAGATGCCTGAAATAAAATATGTCATTCTAAATTTATCATGATTCTATTCAGATAATTTTTTATAAATTTGTGAAATTCAACAAATTTAAATTAAACGGGCAAATGGATCTTGACAAGAGGAAAATTAATTATAATAAATATTTAAGACACGTCAGAAATAATAATAACAATTTTATTCAATTACCTCAAAGTTTTCGTTAAGTAATGATTATTTTTTAAGTTGGAAATAATATTTTTATTTAAAAATCATCAAATATTATTAACTTACTCTCTGTGATATTAATAATTTACAAACATTCAACGCAGTCCGAATAGGGTTAGCATCTATTTTCATAGCTGTGGCATAATAAGTAACACCTCTTGGTACATACTGATGTACAAAATTTAAATGCTGAAATCAGAAAAGGTATTCAAATCAATGTGAAGTGTAGTCTAGACAAGATTTTTATACTTATAGACTATGAGCTTGATTATGAACTAATTATTTTCTTGTACAAATAGGCATCAGAATCATTTAATTTTTTTTTAAGATATGATCTTCTAATTTTAAAGAGTTTTATAGGAATATTTATATTATAAACCAGGATGCTAATTAAAAAGACAATATATTTTTTAAAAAAATATATCATAACTTTTGATGGGCTATCTAAAGAAGTTTTGTTTAAATTAAAATCAATATATTATTAAATTTTAATATACAATAAAGTTTGAATAAATGAATAAAATTAAAAAACCTTTCCTGATCTGTGGATGAATTTTGTAATATTGTTCTAAGGTTCTTAGAACTCTTTCCTATCTACCATTTGGAAATCTACCATTTCCACAGAAATCTACCATTTGGATATGAATGCTATCAAGAACTTATGGGATTAGATTAAACTTTTATTTTTATTTTTTTTTGTTCTTCCCTTTCTTGTCCTTTAGGCTACATGGAGTTTTTCCCAAGCCGGGTGAGGCCAGGGTATTATGCCGAGCTAAAAGTCCCACTGGGCACCGGGATTATTTTATAAACTTCCATTATCAGATAGCCTGCTCAGCTCACCCAAACCGTCCCCAAGGATTAGTTCAACTTACAGATTAAAACAGAATTTCAATAAAATAGCTTAAAATTAAATTATCAGAAAGTCTTATCTTTTTCTTTTTCTTAACCCACCACCCAAACAAATTTGAAGTTTAAATAATCAAAATAAAAAAATATATATAATTTATATTTGTTATGAATGTTTTTTGCATCTTCCTGTTTCACAGCAAAGCCAATTACACGGTGGGCCAGACCGCTCTACTGTGCACCCCCTCCTCCCCTCCCACATTCCTATAAATTGCATATCGTTGTGTTAATTGTAGCTACTTATTAAAAAGAAGCCAATGTTCCCACAAAAGTGAACGCACTCCCCAAAAATGGCGTCCAAACATGGCAGATTGATGACTTTGATTTTATTTAGTTTTTTGGTTACTGTGAATCAGTATTTGGCTTAATTTCTTCATAGTTGGTCTTTTATTAAAGCTGAATAGTCATAGAATAAGAAAACATGAAAAATATAAAAAAATAATTGACTTAGGCAAATAAAACACATCAGTAAAGTAAAGTTTTTTAACAAAAAAAATTTCAAGTTGAAAATCAAGTGTCGTTTGTAATTAAACGGCCAACAATAAAGCAAATCATGTTGAAATAAAACGTCTGGAAAATATATTTCTCTTTACTTTTCAATATATTTGAAGCAGTTCTGTAGAAAATGCACTTGAGCAGCAGAAAAGCGGTACTGGCGTAGGTGCCTTCAGGCTCCTACCACACCGTTCAGTACATAAATGGCTTTGTTGTAGTGCTATAATAACGTTTTTGGTACATTATATTGATCCTATTAACGAACAAATATTAATAAAATAATTGAATTGTCAAAAAAAACTAAACAATTTTTTTTTTTAATTTAACTTCCTTTATTCTATATGGTGATCATTTAAGAAGGCCTCTATTGTAAAAATGATATCATTATAATAATAAAACTTAATTCAAAAATACTTTGCTGAATATCTTGATTTTTTATTTAATGTCATCAATTTAAAACTTTGTTTTGATTATTTATTGATATTTAGAGGTTATTTAAATTGCCTATACTTCCATGAAAATGAAGTAGATGGTATTAATACCTGTTTTATAAACTAAAATAATATATACCTAATTTGAACTACATATACTGAATAGTTGATGGATTTGTTTGTAAAACTCATATACCACTAATAAAAAAAATGAATTTTTATTTTGTTCGGAAGTTGGACCATCATCATAAAAAAATAGGAAATTTTAATATTGAATGCATTATTCTCTCAGCCTAAAGAAAGATGCAAAGGGCATAGCTATTTATGAGTATTGAATGGTGTGGTAGGGGCCTGAAGGTTTTTTAGAAAGAGAAATATATTCTCCAGACGTTTTATTTCAACGCGATTTGCGTTATTGTTGGCCGTTTAATTACAAACGACACTTGATTTTCGACTTGAAATTTTTTTTGTTAAAAAACTTTACTTTACTGATGTGTTTTATTGCCTAAGTCAATTATTTTTTTATATTTTTCATGTTTTCTTATTCTATGACTATTCAGCTTTAATAAAAGACCAACTATGAAGAAATTAAGCCAAATACTGATTCACAGTAACCAAAAAACTAAATAAAATCAAAGTCATCAATCTGCCATGTTTGGACGCCATTTTTGGGGAGTGCGTTCACTTTTGTGGGAACATTGGCTTCTTTTTAATAAATAGTTACAACTAACACAATGATATGCAATTTATAGGGATGTGGGAGGGAGGGGGTGCACGGTAGGATGGTCTGGCCCACAGACTAAATGAAGAAGCTATTAAAAATAGTATAGCTATTAAAAAGTAACTATTAATAAAATGAAAGGAAATAAAATAACAAAAAAAAGTAAAAGTAATGTCCATTGAACTTTGAAATGTTCATATCTTTTAATTTTCATTTATCATAGATCAACTATTACACTTGGGGTCATGATGGCCAAGTGTGTCAAAGCGTAAACTTTAACATTCTTGAGTTTAATGACACCGGTTTGAATCTGAACTGTGCGGGTTGAAATTTTTTTCATGGTGAAACTAAGGAATTAATCTCAAACTTCCCACCCTGGTTAGAATAGGTTTAGTTGTGCCTCTTGAAAATCCCTCCCCCTCCCAATTGCCAGAAATAGGGATAATCGAAGAAAAAAAAATGATGAATGAAGAAATTTTTTTTTTATAGCAACCCAATATAATTGGGCAGCAATCCTTTATATTTTATGAAAATAAAGTATTTCTCTCTCTCTGTTATTATGACTGGTTCCTATTTAGGGTCTGTATTTCCGATTATAAATTTGTCGAGGCAAGTTTTACTGTAAATGTATATGCTGTAGTCTGTTTATCATGTTTTTTAACTTGATTTGAACCAAATATGTTATTGCTATGAAAACATTTACCATGTGTGTACTAAATTAATTTAATTTTTACATAAAATTATATAATACATAATAGTTGAAAACATACTCATTTACTTTCAAGCAAATTTTGTCATCATTATTAAGAATTGTTTTAAGGTCAATTGGTATAGAAAAATATTCCAAATCTGTAGGATAAAAAAAAGAATGATTATGTATTTAATCAGAGAGAAAATGTTTCCAGCTCACTATACAGGATGTTTCAGGGTTAAGTGGCCAAATTGTAAAAATGAACTAAGGACCTCAAAACAAAAAAAAAAAATGTTCTGGAAGGTATGTTTGTTTAGGAGATATTCACACCTAAAGATTTTCGTTGTTATGAATTATTTACGATACATAAAATAAATAAAATCTATTTATTTATTCTATCTACTTTATTAATTAAATGTAAACATTAACATTCATATTAAATGTTGTTCAAAGTGAAGGTATGTCTGTAAACACTTTGTTTAGGAGATGGATTAGATAGAATACTAATATGGCCTTTTATCTCTAACTGTATAAAAACTATTGGCAACATAAGGTTTAATACTATTTGGAATTAGCATTGGGAACCCTCAATATCATTTATCAGTTTGTAAGAGGCTTTCACAGAGTATTCATCATTATGCCTTCCATTTATACTAATGGTGAATGTGTCGATATGGTGTTTGTATATGGTTTTTGCAATGGTAATGCTAATGATGCCCATTGTGAATATACCAGGCGATTTCCGAATATAAGATTACCAAACAAGTCTATCTTTAGCTTAACGTTTCAATGTCTTTGAGAAACTAGTACATTTCCTATAATACCACCTACAGATGGTATTTTTGCCGCTTTACGAAATGAAGAAAGGAGTGCGACCATATTACAATATTTTGATGATAATCCAACTGGCAGTGTACGAAGAGCTGGAGCAGAATTAAATATTACGCCAACTACAGTATGGAGAACTGTCATTGCAGATGGACTTCACCCATATATTTATCAACGGGTACACAATTTATTACCGCAAGATTTTCGGCAAAGAAGAAATTTTTAAGATTGGCACTTAAATCAAGTTGAGCATAATCTACAATCTTCAGGAAAAATTCTCTGGACAGATGAAGCTACCTTTACAAGAAGAGGTATCTTCAATCAGAAAAATAATCATCTCTGGTGGCAGGAAAATCCCCAAGCAATTCGTGAGCATCATTTTCAGCACCAGTTTCAGTGCAATGTGTGGTCGGGGATAATTGACAATATTTTGATAGGCCCGCATTTCTTGACGCCTTGACTCAATGCTAGCACATCTTTGGAATTTCTTAATAATGATTACTATGATTTAGTTGAACATATTCCACTACAACTGAGAAGGGACATGGGGCTTCAATTACATGGTTGTCCTGCACATCATGGAAGATATCAACGAAAATGGTTAAATGTTAATTATCCTAATCAATGGATTGGCCGTGCAGGACCAGTGGCTTGGCCTGCCTGCTCTCCAAACCTGACACCATTAGATTTTCTTGTTTGGGATGACATTAAACAAAAAGTCTATACAAGTCTGGTCAATCACTTTAATTCCTTACGAAGAAGAAGAATTGAATCTTGTGAAACAATAACACATATCCAGTGCCGTTCTGCCACTGCTGCTGTTGAAGAAAGATGACGAGCCTGTTTTAATGCTCAAGGAAATCACTGAACAACATTTAATATGAATTTAATGTTTAAGTGTAATTAATAAAATAGTTGGAACAAATAAATAAGTTTTATTTACTTAATATAACATAATAATTTGTAACTATGAAAATCTTTATGTGTGAATATCTCCTAAACAAAGCGTTTTTGGACATATCTTCATAGGAATTTTTTTTCTTCTTTTTAGGTCCTTAATTCATATTTTTAGTTTGGCCACTTAACCCTGAAACACCCTGTATATTAATACAGGCTCATTGTTCATTTAGTAAATTTAACTTAATTATAACACAAAGGCAAAATAATGATTACTTAAATTTATTAGTTACTGCTATTTTGATCCAGAATGTGTAATATCATTCGATGAAAGCAGCTATGATATATTACTACACAAATTTTATTGAAATAAAATTGATTGGAAAACAATTTTAATACTTCCAGTAAGTGTGTGAAATATAATATAAAATTTTTTGCTGAAGGCAGTATATGAAATGTTTTAAATAAAGTAAATTTCATTAAAATAAAATAATTTGTTGAAATTAGAGTATGTTGATTTTGAAGAGAGGACTACAATAATATTGGATGCCTGTTCAGCTATGTTGAGTTCCTAAATCACACAGCATACTCATAAGTCAACACATATTACTAACTAATATATAGCAAATGTGTTGAAAACAGAGTACAGGCTAAGTATAAAGACTTATTTGTTACTAAATTGTACAATCAAAGCAAACATAAATTCATATAATATTCACTTACACCAATACCAACAATGTTGTTAATAATATCTTATTGGTTAAATCAAACTTATGTCGTGTTTTATTGGTCATACTTACAGCTATGATCTCTTTGAAATGTGAAATGCTTTCATTGTTGCTCAAAACCCCGCCAATGTTAAAATAAATAGGATTACCACACTCAACATTAGCCAAAATAAGAAAACAAAATGAAAGGAGTGTAATGCCCATTGTTATAAATTAAATTGAGACAGTCTCAATACTTTCCTTTATTGTGTTCAACCTCTGTTTAAGTGTTTGGAAGAGTGAAACTGAGAAAATACAAAAAATTAATATTATTACATTTATTTCAAATGATTAAAAGATAAATATTTTTCATTTGTGTGGAAATGTACTATGGAGAAAAGGAGTTTTAAGGATAATGACAGCATATTAAATACCTCCATTTTTAAATTTGGATAAGATCAGATTTTCAGATGAGATGAAGACAAGATGAGAGAAGGGAGTTGCCTGGCAACAAACATCCAGGCCTTATTGATTGGTCAGGATGACTTACTGACCTATATTTAGTACAGAACTAACTTACTGCAACCTTTTTTTCTACAAACAAGCAAAAATTAGTATTTCAAATGGTTACTTTAAATCAAATAACAATTAGTCAGAAAAAAATGGTTATTTACGATATTTGAAAACATAAAATTACTTTAATTTAGCCAGTAAAATAACAAAGAGTATCCCTAAACCTAAATATTTTTACTTCAGTTTATTCATGAATTTAGACCACTATGCTAATTGCTAATTATTATAAAATTATTGTAATATTTTCCTGGATAAATGTATGTATATATTAGGTATTATCTACCTATTCTAAATCAAAAAGCCATTTATACAATGGTAGTATCAAATACAAAAATTAATTTAAACCATCGTTGGTTTAAATATATTTTTTTTAACAATGAAATTTAAATATTTTTCTTTTTTATTTGTTACATATTTTTTCTTTCATAACCGCAATTAAAATTATTTATAATTATAAAATATATTTTAACTAATAATCTATGTAATAATACAAATTAAAAGACTAATCTTCATAAACTGTAATTACTTTAACACATTAAATGAATCCTAAATACAAAAAAAAATCATAATAAACTAATATCCTTAACAACTAAAATAACCAAAAAATATATTTACCAGAAACGTTTTGTATAATACAGCTAGATTTATATCAACAATTCCATCAGAATTGGGCAATTACTAAATAATATCCCATTTTCTCTTTTCTTTACTCTTCTCCTTCCTTATAATTTTCATGCTATTTTTTTTCAACAATGATTATTAATAACCAGGTTTACATTGATTAATTCTGATTCGAAAGCTGAATTTTCATACTGGAAAATACACAGTATTAGTGGTCACACCACTACTATTGTTACTATTTATTTATAACTATAGACCGGATTTTTGTGCAGTAAAAATCCGGAAAATGTGCAGTAAAAAACTTAAAATGTACAAAATCGTGCAATATAAAGAAAAATACATAAAATTGTGAAATTAACACCTAAAAACGTGTAAAATCATCAATATTGTTTAATTTATAACATTAATACATCGAAATCTTATCAGATCTTGAGTTAACATAGAAATAAAAAAATTGAAATGTAACATTGAAAATGAAATTTCAGGATATAATAAACTATTACAATAACGATTATTATCAAATAATGCCGAGCATTGAAGGTTTGAAACAATAAATGAAGGCAGGAATTATATTTGCCTATGGATATAGTACATAGATAAGACCAATTTTAAATATGTAACTTTTATTAATAATAATAATGAAAACTTTATTTTTTAACAGTGTTGAAGTTTCCAATATTATACATTCCCAAATGTTTTTGTTAAAATTTAAAGAATTTTGAAAAAAAATTAAATAGGCTGTAATGTTTGAGATTTTTAAGTGTTAAAAAATTAGTGCTGAAGCTGTTTTTCTATACCACTAAAAATATATATTTTTGGGGATTACATTCTTTCTAAAAATATTCTTATAAGAATACTTTTTTCTTACTTGTTCCCCAATGAGCGTCCTATCATATGATTGATTCACAAGGTGTATTGAACTTTCTCATCAAATTTTTTTCCCTCACATTTCAAATCAGGGTACAGTTACTCTATTAGTTAGGTGGATACAGATTCTATACTACTCCAAAATTCTCCTTCTTCCTCGATCGCCATTTAACCTTCAATAAATCTGGCCAATCCTAATGGATATTACTTGAATCACTAGAGTAAATTTAACAAGAGATAGTCATACTTCTAATATCAGATTCCAATAAACTATAACAATGGTAATACATAGTAAATCATATGACAGATTCTTAAGGAATACCATTGTTTAATGCAAAGTATAAAGTATTAATGATATAATTAAATGTGTATTTTTTGTTTATAGCATAAAACTTATTCATAAAATTTTAACTATTTAATGTGAACTCTAATTTTACTGACAAGTAAAAAATACACTGAAAACATTTTTTATGTACAATAAATTGTACTGTTCAGGTCACACTAGTCAACTAAGAGAAAAAATAAAATATTTATGTGATGCAATTTAACAGTCCTTCAGAAGTAAAAACCAAAAGTGAAATTAAAGAAACCTGCAAAAGGAGTCAATCTTACGAGTTGTTGAAAATGAGCTATTATTGAATCATGATTTGATTTTGCCAAAGTTCAAACCTATTGTTTTCCCTTAACTTTCCGACATATACATGTATTGAAAGACGAGATTGTAATTCTAATTTAGGTATACATTCATAAATATTTTGTAATACCACAGACAGGGAAAAAACTAAATGTATTTAAACTTGGTGCAGTCCAACTATAGCTTAGGATTTTTTGCTAAGTATATTATCTATTTAGCTTAGATGATTCCATATTAATTTCAGTAAATTCCATACAGTATTTCCGGTTGCACAAATGTATTTTCTTAAATATGCCAATATTTCATAAATGGCTCAAAGTTGAAAGAAAGGTGGGAATTGGTAAAATAATGAAGCTGTATCGATTTAATTAAATTCTGAACAGTACTTCCGGTTGTGCACACACAACTGTACTGTCATAGATATGCTGATAATTAGAAATGGCTCGTTTGATTTGGTTCAAAGATAGAATAAAAAAGGTGATCATTAGTAAAAGTAGTAGAGCTTGAGATACAGGTAAGTGTGGAACCAATGAAAATGGTGAGGAAGCTATACTGGCCTCACTTAGCAGATGTTTTTTCATATCATTCAATCACCAGATGTAAAATTATGATCACAGGAAATGTTTTCTTAGATTCAAAATAAACATGGTATCTAATTGTCCCTCGAGCATCTATAAGAGTAAATGTACAAAACAACATTATAAAATAAAATACAAAACATTATTGAAAAAATTATTGTATATCATTTTAATATTAATGTGCTTAAATAAACATGACAAAAAGGAATTATATAATTTATTTAGCTATATAAAGTTGAACAATTAATGAAAGCCATAAATATATCTTTGAGATAGTATTTTATACACCAAACATCTTTTAGGAAAAAAATATTAAAAATAAAATAAATAATGTAGTAAATTATCCAACAAATTATAATAAAACAGCAAACAATCTGTTCTAAAAATAAAATAAATGACACTATTTAACAGTCTTTCAAAAATATTTAAATATCTTATATTTACGTCTAATACTGTCTACAAATGAAATTTAAAATAGTTCAAGCTCTTCAGCATCGATTTAATCAACAACTAAATTAAAAACTACTACTTGACTAAATATCTTCATGACATACAAACTATTTTGTTTGTTTGTTTTAGTTTGTGCAAACATCTTCATTTAATAAAGAAACCATGAAGACTTCAATAATAGCATAACAAAATATTTTTTTTTATTTTTAAAAAACAAGAGTAATATAAAATATACACAACAGAATTTATAAAATATAAATGTACACAAAGAATTTCAAAACTTAACTAAATATGCAAGAAATAATTAATAAGTTTTAAAAACCAACTCGGAACTGACACCTCCTAACTTCTTTTCAAAGACGGGAAAAGGAAAAAATTAAATAAGGGTAAGCCATTTCATTTGCAATTTGAAAAGCCATACTTTTACTTTTACCATAAAAAAACTACTCAAGCACAACAGAGGAACTCGTTCGGCTTCAGGAAGCACACCACAGTAACTGAACAGGCTGGTCCATTTAGTGCGAAGAAAAATGATAAACCAGAACTAGTGAGTGTAAGGAATAGTGAATAACCAGTGGTGACTTTTCAAGAGATAATTACAAACTTTCATAGAGATAATTACATGACTCAAAGTGTTTCAACTGCCCTCCAGCAGTGAAACATCCTACGCCCTGAAGACGACCTGCAAAGTGGGTCGAAACGTCGGCAAAAATTAAAATAATTAATATATTTTAATTTTTTATTTATTTGACCGCACCCTCGACTAACTCCTTCTCATATTATATCAATGGTCAACCATCTCTACATCATAATAAAACTTATGGATGAGTAATGCTTTAAACAAGAGGGATTTAGCAAAACAGAAAGATTACCAAAGCTTGAATAAAAGGACTAAAGGACTACAATTTGACCACTCACTGTTATCTGGCAAGCTGTTGCCTTGGATAGAGAAACGTATAGGCATACTAAAAGGGAACCCGATCTGTAGTCTACAAAATATAGAAAAATAGTATGCTAATGATTAAAATTGAATGACATGAAAAAAAAAATTACTTATTTCACTCTATCCATTAGAGTTAATGAATTAAATAATAAGATATACCACCCTTTAACTTATATTCATGGTAAGGGGGCATTGATGATCATTTCTTCCGCAATAAAAAAAAACCAGGACATGAAAAACTGTTAAAAAGCAAAATTAAAAACAAACTAATTTCATACAATTCTAAAATTTATACATACTTCAACACTATCGTGCATATAAAATCAAGAGTTACAATAATTAAGATTTACTGATTGAAACCAGTAATGCAATAATAGTATATAAAAAACAGTGAGGAAGTAATTAACACTTATTAACATGGTAAGAGATTAACACCAATACAAAAACATTTTTGACTAGAAAAGTGGAAAAAATAGATTTTCAGATGATACATTTCTTCTTCTCATTTCAGTTAAAGTGATTGGATGTTTGAAATGTATCTGTGTTCAAACATTGTAATTAAAAACCAAAGGTAATCAGTTTATTTCTATTATAAATTTAGAAAATAAACAGTACAATATTCTAAATATTTTTTTGGATTTTAACAGAAATTATACTTATTTGAAATCTGTTATTTTTACAATGTTGTCCCAAACTTCTGATTCAGATTCCTTTCCCCCTTCCTTCTACAGATAATCATGAATCTTAGTTTATAAGCATTAAGTTAATAATTGGAAGTTAAATAGGAATATATATCTTTTATTTTTTCAAGATACATATAACTTCACTTTTTGGGATAAAAAATTGATAAATTTGAGTTTGATTAAGATATAAATGTCTAATGTTTCATAATTATAATTATAGATTCGATTGCTAACCAAGCAAAAGGTTTTAAATAATGAAATAAATCAATTGTAAGTTAAAAAACCATTGTCCACTTAAACAAAAAATATTTAATAATTTATTTTCAAAACCTGCAGTTCATTATATGCTTTTCTTAAGTTTTTATCACATTTAATAAAAGTAGACATTTAAAACAAAATCTAAAAAGACTAGAGATGAATTTATTGCAAATATCTAGTTTTTCATAGATCATTTTTTTACATCCATTTTATACTTTTCGACACAATAATTGGATTGTAAAATAAAACAGAAAATCAAAAGATTCTCGTCATAAAACAATCATTATCTATAAAAAAAATATTCTACTCTTAATTACAGATTTATACATTAAATGAAACAATAGAAAATTTGATAAAAGAGATCGAAAATATTTTTGAAGAGAAAACTTTTGGATTCATTGCTTATGATTTTTTTTTCTTCTAAAAATATAATTTCAAGCATAGGAATAAGAAAAATGATTCCACTGAAACATTTTTTCATGAAATTTTCTCTTCTAAAAACCTGCTAAAGTTTAAAAGTTAAAAGTTTTAATACATCAAAATAAGTGTATTAAACATCACCTAATTATTATAAGTAATATACATTTATTTTCCTTTTTTAAAACAAAAAAAATTAAAGTTTAAGATTAGTAATTTGAATACTTTGGTCACAATATAAGGATATTAAAAAAACAAAAACTAAAACAATGTAAAAACATTAACTAATTATTACACTTCACGCTATCATACAACTAATTACAATTTCAGATATATACAGAATCAATATTAAAAATAAAATTGCAGTTTTAGAGTGTCAATATTTTAAAAAATATTGTTTTCACTAGGACCTCAAATTATCCGAGAACACAATTATGCTAAGAACAATCTCGTTTCATGCATTCATTACATCTTTTTCTGAATTGATACACCTTCCATTTTCAAAGTAAGCATTCACTTTTTCAGTGACCTCTTCTAAACCTGAAAAAAAAAAATTTATAAATCAACAGAAATAATACTTCAAATAAATAAACCAAGATAATTTATAAAATGATCATATATGCAAAAATAAGGAGAAATTAAAAATTATGTTCAACCATATAAGTTGTAAAGCAGTTGAGTTATGCTCAGTTGCTGCTGGGTGCAGTAGCTTAAGTCTAGCTTCTCTGGAAATTAATATAATCTAACCTACCTAGTTCCGCCAAACTTTCGATATTGTACTAAAAAGACTGTTGAAGGTAAGAAATGTGGGACAGGCCAATGACCAAATATTTTCATTCAAAATTATTTTAACATGACCAAAAGCGATACTGTAAGATTAAACAAAGAAACAAAGTTGTTCAGAAAGAAAAAAAACAATTGTGGGGAAGAGTTAAAATAAAAATATTAGAATACAGGATGGCTATATAACAGCTGGAATTATAGAAATACACATCTAGTAAACATTATTTAAAAAAATAATTTAATTTTTAAAAAACAGACAACAAAAATTGGAAAATTCTATGCACCCTAAGGGAATGTACTTTCATATTTACGTAAACATCTTGGTAGGTTGATATGGAAATTGACCTCAACAAACTTGATGTAATAGTCAGGTGCCTTTCACTACACATTATGGCTCCGGGCAAATAGATTTCATGCCATGTATCGATGTATATCAACATCCGAGTATTGAGTTTAGTATGGGGATGGACAATACCATACTACCACACCAAGTTTAAATATTTGTAGATGTCAATATTCCCATCAATCTGCCAAGATGTATAAGTAAATGGGAGTGGATTTCCTTAGGGTGGATGGAATTTCCCAATTTTTTTGGTCAGGTTTTTTTTATTCAAACATTTTTTTATTTTAGTATTTAAATATAAACAATTTATTTTCATAAGACATGATCACGTGATATTATTTCAAATAAATTAATAATCAAGATACTTAAACTATAACAAAATTTTTTTTCAATATTTTGTGCTCAAATAGTTTCAAAACATTGATGGGATCTCGCTGAGTAATTACAGCCGTCAAAATTAAAAATCAGTCAAGCCATCTGTTCAAAACATCGTTACGTACCTTTTTAGCGGATCGGCTTAACACATTTGACACAGTAATTTACTGGAACTCCAAGCTCAAATTCTAACAAAACACTCACGGGATCGCACTGAATAATTTAAGGTATCAAACTTAAAAATTGCTAAAGCTGCTCACTCAAGAAATCTGTTTATACCTTTTAACAAATTGATTAAAGACATTTTATTCAATTACAGGTCAGTATTTTGAGCTCAATTTTCCTCAAAACACTCACAGGATCTGAATGAATATTTTGAGCTATTTAACTTCAAAATTTATCCATCTCTTCACTCAAAAAATTATTACAGCCCTTACTTACAGCAGACAACCCAAACACATAAAACTTGTGTCGCTTCACTTTCAAAACACTCAGGAGATCTCACTGGACAATTCAAGATATCAAACTTAAAAATCTATCCTGCCGTTTGCTTGAAAAATCGTACATATCTATAGCAAATCGATTAAATACATTTTATTTAATCACAGTTCAGTATTTTTAGCTCAAATTGTTTTAAAACACTCGCGGATCTCACCAAATAATTTGAGCCATCAAACTTAAGAATCAATCCAGCCATTCGCTCAAAACAGTGTTACAAAGCATTTTGCAAATCGATTAAATAGATTTTATTTAATCACAGTTCAGTATTTTTGCTCAGATTGTTTCAAAACACTCAGGATATCTCACTGAATTTGAGCTATCAAACTAACAATCGATCTAATCGTTCACTTAACACAGCGTTACAAAGCTTTTTGTAAATCGATTGAACACATTTTATTTAATAATGGGTCTGTATTTTGAGCTTAAATTCCTTCAAAACACTCAGGGCACCTCACCGAAAAATTTGAGACATCAAACTTAAAAAACGATCTAGCTGTTTGCTCTAAAAAGCATTACATGGCTTTCAGCGGATGACCCAAACACAACCCTTGTTTCACTTCGCTTAGTCAGGTAAAAATATCGATTCTTGTTACAAACATGGTTCCTCAATAACCTATTCAACCATCATTTACATTAATTAAATTTTTAATTTTTTTTAATCAATTTTCTTTGACATTTTCTTAGAATGTCTAATACACCTAAAAATGCTGTATATTTTTTAGTTTAATAGTGCTTATTTTCTTTACTAGTCAGAAAATGCAAAATAAAATCAATTCTTACCCGCTACATTAGTAACCAGCAAAATGTCATCAGTTATCTTCTTGGCAAGGGACTTGAAAATATTTCTAGAGGCAATTTTACCTCCTAAATAATGAGGAGTAAGAGCTCCAACAACTAAATTGGCAGTTCGCTTTCGGCTCAATGCAGCTTCGGTTAAAGAAATTTCTAAATACATTGGTTTATCGATGCCAAACAGTTCCTTGAACTTTTTTTGAACTTTAACCTTTTTAATAGGATTTAAACGTGCTAATATACATTTCAAATTACAGTTTTGAGCAGCATATTCAGATTTCCAGTCTAATGCTAGCTTAAAAGGTTTGTCTTCCAAAATCATGCTATCATTGTCATAAGTCGAAGAGGTATCTTCAATGGTATTATTTAGAGACTTGATTACAAGTGCTTCGTTTGTGTTTCCCAGTATTTTAGGATTCGAATCAGATTCATCTTCACCAAACAAAGCAGCAAACTTTTGAAGCCTCTCATCTAAATTGCTTGAATTTGTTTTCTCACCAACAAAACCAGAATCAGTCAAATCATTAGACACACTTACATTATCAAGATTAATTATATTTTCAATAGATTCTTCCTCATGTTTTCTTTTTTTTGGGCTAGGACCTTTATCACTATCATTTTTTTCTGAGAAATTCGGAGATGTCATAAGTATATTAAACAGATCTTCCAAGTCATTGTTTCCTTTATCATTATCACAATTATCAGTAGTACAAGGGTTGAAAATAATTACATTAGAATTTTCCAGAGTGATATCAATAGTCGAAGTTTCTTTTGTTTGCCGCATTTGTAAGATATCTTCTGTTAGTTCAGGTGATTCTACTTTACAATTGGTCAAGCTTATGCTTGTTTGAGTACCTTTTTCACAACGGTTTTTTATTTTATTATCAAATACATGTTCAATAAGTGGACTAAAAAGACTTCCTTCTTCAGTTGACCTTTTGATTTCTTTCATCTGCAAAAATTTAAAAAAAATTTAATTAATTTAGGTACAAGAGAAAATGACAAAAATTAAGAAAAATAATAAAAAAAAATGCAAGCCAACAAAATTAGATGAACAATAGTAAATTTATTATTTTTAAACCTATCAATGATATTGAATGAATTTATTTTTCCACTTATTATTTGATGAGGAAAAGTCATAAACTGATCCTGAGGTTTTTGATGAAGGTGTCTCAACCATTAATTTATAATTTTTATCTATTATCCTTTTGTCAACATTTCGGGCTCCTGGTTTATCTTTATGGACAATTTTTTATCAGGGCAGTAAACAATTCACTCACACTGATACAAGTCAGTAACAGAACAGCCCCTAGGAACACTTTCCATAGGAAGCCGCCCCTAGGATGGGGGAGCACTTCAGGACGCTCTGAGGAGGGAGCCCTTCCACCTGACTCGGGGGTAGAGGGCCGATAATCTGTTCCCCTCAAATTACTTTTATTATGAATGCACCGAAAAGATTAGCTGGACCGATAAACAGGAAACGACACAATGCTCATCAATAGGACTACACTTTGGCTTCATGGAACGTTTTAACTCTACATGGACCCGGAGCTACACAAACGCTCCTAAACATTTTAAACACATATTCAATAGACATAGTGGCCATCCAAGAGATCAGGTGGACTGGACAAGGCAGCCTTAAGAAAAGCCAGCACACCATTTATTACAGATGTCATGACCGATTGCACTCGTTTGGGACTGGATTCATTGTGGGAAGAAGAGTGACCCACCCAGCAAGTTATAGATTTCAAGCCTATCAGCCCCAGACTCTAATTACGAATCAAGGGAAAGTTTCACAATGTCAGCATCATCTGTGTACACGCGCCTACAGAAGTCTCTGAAGATGAAATGACAGACGAATTCTATGAGGAACTGGAGAAATGCTTTGATGACTGCCCTGCTCATGATATGAAAATAGTGATTGGGGACTACAATGCCCAAATTGGAAAAGAGAAAGCCTTTAGGCTTATTATAGAAAGAAATAGCCTTCATGAGAACTCTAACGACAATGGAAAAAGAGTGGTGAACTTCTCAGCCTCTAAGGGTTTGGTTGTGGGAAGTACCTATTTCCCGCAGAAACATGGAGGAAATTCAGACGGAACGGATCCATTACAAGCTCTCAGATTGATCATATACTTGTCAGCGCTAGATATAAATCCTCATTACTTGACTACGCACAAAACGAGGGGCTAACATTGACTCGGACCACTACCTTATAATTGCGAAAATAAGGTGTCGGATATCAATAGAGAAGTACCAGCCTCGACGTTCTCTGACAAGGTACAATATTGAAAAGTTAAAGGACGGTGATACAAGCATTAGATTCTCACACCAATTGGACATCAGATTAAGGAGTAAGGAATTCATCTCCAAAAATACAAGAGAATTCTTTCAGGTTGTTAATAAAGGAAGAAAGTTCTTCCTGTTCCATACCACAGGATGTAGAGCAAACGATGGTTCTTTGGTAACTGATAAACAAGGCATTTCGGACAGAAGGGCTGAATACTTTTCAATTCTCAACAGAAATGGCACAAATGTCTCAGAGGCAAATGATTCAATTGCAGGTGGTGAAGAAGTAGAACCCCCAGATGAGGAAGAAATCAATGAAGCCATAGAAGGACTAAAAAGCAATAGAGCCCCAGGCATTGATAACTTCCCCGCAGAGTTCTATAAACATGGTAGTCAAGAACTCATAAAACTCCTCCAGGAAATGTTTCATGCCGTTTGGGCTTCCAAGTGATTGGAAAAAATCCATTATACGCCCAGTGTACAAAAAAGGGGACGTCTATCAATGTAGTAATTACAGGGGCATATGCCTTCAATCCACCGCTTACAAAAATTTTTTCAAGGATTCTTTACAGAAGAATAATTTCTTATGCCAAGGCTGAAATCGGAAAATACCAGGCCAGATTCATCAAGGGTAATTCAGCAATCGATCAAATATTCACCTTGCAAATCCTTCTGGAGAAAACCAAAGAATACCAAATTGGTATACATCACATCTTCATTGATTTCAAGCAAGCGTATGATTCCATGAACCGTGAGGAAGCATACAAAGCAATGATAGAAATGAATGTAACTAAAAAACTAGTAAGGCTTGTTAGAATGACAATGGAGGGTAATGAGTGTTTAGTACGAGTACAAGGTGATTTATCAAAGGGTTTAGAACATCGACAGGTGTAAGGCAGGGAGACACTCTGGCATGTCTGATATTCAACTTAACTCTTGAAAAAGTCATAAGGGATTCTGGTATCCAGACTACAGGTACCCTACTAAATCGAATGACCCAAATACTTGGATATGCGGACGATATTGACATAATGGGAAGATCGTTTGCGGCAGTACAAGAAGCTTTTACAAGCCTGGAAGAGTCGGCAGCCGAAATCGGTCTTATTATTAATACGTCCAAAACAAAATATATGTCCACCCTATCCTCACGTCTAACAAGGGAAAACCAAGCATGGCTGGAACAGCGTGGAATCGAGAATGTAGACGAATTTGTATATCTTGAATGATATTAAACCTGAAATTCACTGGTGAATAATGGCTGCAAATAGGTGCTGTTATGGTCTTCTGACACACCTTAAAATCAGTCTTCAGAATTACCAAGGTGTATCTGTATAAAACATTTATCAGACCCGTGCTGACCTATGGATCTGAATGCAGGACTCTCCTGAAAATTCAAGCTCTTGCAAGATTTGAGCACTGGATTTACCGCAGGATCTACGGAGTGGTCTATAGTGATAGTGGCTGGAGGCACCGAAGCAATACAGAACTGATGCAACTTTACAATGAAACTGAAATGGGTTGCTGGTGGAACACTAATAGGTGGTAAGAAGATTAACAAGATGTTAAGAAGAATATTATTAATAATAATTACGTATGATGTGGTTCTGATTTCGGACAATCCATTTATATTGCATGGTACACTGAATATATTAGAGACCTTTTGTAAAATGTGGAGTCTGGAAATTAACGATGAAAAGGAAATGGGAAATGGATAGGAAATTAAAGTGTGGATATGATGGGAAGCAGTTATAATACTTGGGTCTTACTAAAAAAGGCAATACCCTTATTGAATAATTTTAAAGAAGTTTAGAGTAACATTTTTTTTTTTTTTTTTTTTTTTGATAACCCCCGAATCAAATGTTTTCGAGCAGTCCATTGATATTAAAGCAGTGACCTTATTTCGATTTAAGTTTTTTGTTACCTCCGTCTGTAGTTTAACTAGAAAATATTCAGTGCACATTTGAGCTTGAAAACCACTTTGCTCTGGTGGGATCAAATCATTCTGTGTGCAAAACCTTCTTAAGTAGTTCAAAATGATTTTTTTGAATATTTTGGCAATGTGAGATAACAAACTTACCAGCTGATAATGAGCTGGGTTATTACCATTTTTTGCTGGTTTTAGCAGTGGAAATAAAACAGCATGTTTCCATGAATCTGGGAAGTAGCGAAGCCATAGACAAGAGTTGTAAAGGTCCACCAGGTACATTATACCTGTCCTTGGTAACTGTTGAGTAATATACTCTGAATTCCATCAACGCCTGGTGCATGGTTTCCTTTAGCCCTGCGGAGAATCATTTTTAATTGTTTAAATGAAACAAATATGTAATTGCTTTCCTTCTCTACAATTGGAGACGAAATCAAGTTCCCTGTTCTCTTTTTGATTTCTTTACTGTATTATTGTGCTAAGATTACAGCTTGTTCTTTGAGGTTTAATAGCCTGTCATTCTGATGGAGTTTGATGATATTAGACTCCCTATTAATATTCTTTACTATTTTCCAAAACTTACGATAATCACCATGTTTAGCACCTATTTTTTCTTGCCAAATACTTGTTTTCCAATTTTTTATCAAATTACGTATTTGGCAAGTTAAGGAATTCATAACCAACTTAGCCTTTTGATCTCTTGTGTCGTACCATTTATTTTTCCACGCATTTCTTAGTAAAATAAGTTGCAGAACGTGGTGCCGAGGTACGCGAAGAGAAGGTGGAAGAGGAACGAATTGAGGTATTGCGATATTTGCTGCATCTTATAAGGTGTTACATAAAGAGGCTATATGTACAGATAAAACCTTTATTTTATTTATATAGATTCCACATAATTCATACAAAACGAGAATATATAATTCACATAAAATGTGAATAGCTTTCTATATTTCCATTTCAGATTAATAATGCTCCAAAAATCAAACAAAACATCCATGTTTCATTGTCATTACATCTATTTTTTAACTGGGTGAATCCTTAAATAAAATACTAAATTGAAGATATAATGATTAAAATGTACAAATAAGTTAATTTGTATTCTAATAAGGTTGAACATGACTGCTATGTTAAGTCCTACTTTTCAACAATTCCCTTTAAATACACCTATCAATTTGGCCATTTTGAAGAACAAGAATTCACTTTTACACAATAGAAGAATTAACACTTATACTCAGATTTGCGTGATCTGGTTTCAGTTTTAAGAAATTTTTAATAAGTAAAAAGAAGAAAAGTTTCAAGATTACGAACAACTCTGATTGTATATATATATGTGTGTATTTAAGGATTGTATATATATATATATATATATATATATATATATATATATATATATATATATATATATATATATATGATCTTATTTCATTATTTTAATAAACTTTTTCTTCTTCTTCTTCTTTACTGGCAAGGCCCCGCAACATTAACTGCCAGCCATCTCTTTGCTGTGCTGCTGCTCTTAACAAACTTTTTGGTTTGCGTAAATGTTTTTTTATTTACTTGGGCTGCTCTGGACTACCTTTAAAATAGGCAAAGAGTATTCATTTGTTTTGAATATACTAGAAAGTGTGTGTTCAATAAGAAAAAAGACATTAATGGTTAATAACTGACTATAGATGAAAAGGTAAGCTTCTACAAGCCACCTAGGGATGTTAAACTGACACTACAAGCCACCTAGGGATGTTAAACTGACACAACCAGCCCTGACTTCTGCCCCTCTTTGAACCGACTGTGAGAAAAGCCAGTTTATTAAAAAAAATAGGGCAGGTCGGGCAATATAGGGTGCATTCTCGCTATCTATACAGTTATATTTAAAATTAGAGAGCTGGAGAATAAAATCTTTTATAAGGTAGTAACAATCCATTAATTCTTATGATTTAATTTAACACAGTTTGTTAGGAGGATAAATTAAAAACACAAATCCAGTGGTGGGTGTAATGTAAAAAATAAGATAAAATAGCTAAAATCATAATGGACATAGACAAACAGCTAAAGGGATATCTTGAGAGAGGACTTTAGGCTAGGGGATTATGCCCCTAAAGGGAAAAAACTTTTTTACTTTTAATGACTTTAGATAGCAACCATGTAAAATATACAGTCCTTGATTTGTTTAAAAATCTTTCTCCCATGTGCACTAATTTGAACTTTGATCATTTCTTAATAATAAAAGGTTATTGTTAAGAGAGTTCACATTAAAAGGTCCTCCCTTAAGTTATGTCCCTATAGCCACTTACTTGGTCTAACAATTTGATTAAAATAAACAAAATTACTTAAGATGAAACTGGCCTTCTAGCTGTCATATGATACCTAGCAGTGTATGATTTATAGGTTAAATGGTATATGTCTTACAGTTTTAACCATAGCCCGCTGGTAATAGCTTGCCACCATACAAGCTCTCAAAGCCTTGTGTTCCAAAAATTTGGCACATTTTAATATGTCTTCTTTAGAGCAATCCAAGTCATCACTATCTTTGCTAGAATCCAGCCAATGCTCATAGTTCTTCACAAGAGATCGCTGAAGATGATTCATGTAAGATGTCCGAACCTAAAACAAAAGTAAATTTTTTTTATTTTAATAAGGTGAGAATAAAACCAACCAGATGAACTTGTCTAATATAAACCTAAAGTAAATATACACACCAATGCTGTAAGTATTTCACTGTCTTCATCTTCATTGGAACAATTATTGAAGAAACTTAAGTCCCAGCTTAAACATTCACCTACAAATGAACTAGAAGAGAGAGAAGATTAGAATTGGATAATTAAAACTGGGAATGAACTCAGAACAGCATTTCTTACTGTGTTTAATCAATCAGAAAAATGTAATGTTTGTATTTACACTGATGGAAAAACAGTAACTGTCAATAACAGAAACGATAGATAAACAACTACTAATGAGATAAAAATACTTTAATAACTTATAAAGATAGAAACACAAGGGAATAAAATTATTATTATTGTTTTGTTTTTTAATGTCATTACCTTGGACTTGGGTTACTCATACCCATCGTTTTTATTTACATTTTTTCTGATAATAACGAATAGTATTAACGATGCTAGTGCTAAGACCAAATTATGTGTATAGTGATATTTATTTTGATCAGTGAAATGTCAAAACCAGGTAAACACTTAATAAAAAAGAAAAAATGTATTGTTTATATTTTAATCTTGACACCGATGGGAGGGATTTACGATCAGGTGGTGGTGGTGGAACTTAAGAAAACAATACTTGATAGAATAAGTACTTTTTTATTATTTTTTTTTAAATAAAAACTTTAATATTTTGTTTTTATTCATTGTGAATTAGAGTGACATCGCCAATAGATTACGAACCTATTTATTAAATGGTATTATTGTCAACATGATTAACGCCTTGATTTTTTAATTTAATGAGGATATTGTACAGAATAGTTTTAATCCTTCATAATTTGTTCAAAAAATTTCCGTCTTGTGAATTTTGAAAAAATTTGTCCAAGAAACTAGTGAAAGAAGCTACTGCATAATTATATGCTTCAAATAGTTACTCAGCCCACACGTTTAACAAGTCGAAGTTTTGAAAGTAAAAAACCAAAACAATTTTCGAAAATTGGAGTAGTTCCAGAAATGTTCTGAATAAATTTTTTCATAAGGCCTTTTGTAAAGGACTGTTCAGTTATATTGGGATAACCACATTGCGAATCGAGTATTTTACTTAAATTTCATCCCTAGGTTTTGAAACTAAATTAAAGAATTCAATTACTAATTCAGTTGATTATAGACGATTAAATGACGGAGTGATTGTTGTGAATCAACAAGAATAATTATAAACCAGATTTAAAGGTTTTAATAAACAAAAACTTTACATATGATTATAATTATTAATGAACGATTTTACTAACACTCCTTTAATTTAAAATAAGTTAGCGCAGGTGCAGATGGTATAGAATGTTAAAATAAATAAAAATGAAGTTCTCATTTCCTCATTTCTCGAACGAATAGGAGGTCTTCTTTTACGACTAGAACAATTTACAGTTGATGAACCTATTGGTGTTCCACTTTAATCCACTTCCTCCACTATTCTTTAGTCTTGTTATCTACCATCGGATAGTTTAACGAAGAAGGATTCACGTTACTTTCTAAACTTGAAGTTTTATTGGCACCATTTTCTGTTCCTATTATAGGATTTCCAGTAGATGCCGAGTTGATATAATCTCTAGAATTTTCTACCATCTGGGACTCGGGCATGGGCATATTCTAGATTTGACCCCAGTAGCTCAAATTGTTCTACGAGAGGGTTGTGTTATTTTCTCTGATTTGATTTTCCATCAAAACCGGTTCAGGTTTGTCTACTTAAAAAGTAAATCTACTGGTCCGTTTTTATTTGGGTTGTAGAGAGTCGTTCTATTTGTAGCGATTCCATGGATAGTTAGGAATGATTTGAGATTAGCCGATATGAAGGAACTATCTTAATCTGAATACCTTTACGCTAGTCTGCTCAAGAGAACGAAAAGTTATGCAGGATATAAGTAAGAGATAAGTTAACAAGTAAGCAGGGCACTTAAACGTATCAGCAGAGGTTTTTTTCTTAATTTGAAGCAGGAAAATTTTAAGTACCACTTATCTGATAAACTGAAGATATCGAGTTCAAATTCTGGTGTTGAGGGCTTTAACTCTGGCTTAATCTCACATCCACTTTCTTGGCCCAGGAAAGCGGTGAGGTATAGAGAAAACAAAAATCTGTCCAAATTTTAAAAGGTCTACCAATGAATGAGATATAGTGCCAGTATTGGAATAGTGCCAGTTCACATGAGTCTCGCCGATGTAACAAGGCAATATATGTAAGAGGTGCTTCATGGAACCAGAAAACATGGAAGACCAAAAATCTTCCAGAGGGATGGATCAACTCAATAATCCTGCTTGGCGTTCGGATTAGCTGGTTAGGATTAACAGGTGGAGGATGAACCAGGAGGCCATGCTATAGGAATGAGTTGTGTGACATTAAAGAAGAAGAATACTTTTAGATCATTCTTGTATTTTTCCTGAAATTTTCTTCTTAATAATGCCACAGCTGAATCATAATTTTAGGAGATATCTAATTGCGATAAGTAGCATCCTATTTTATCTGGATTTGCTTCTATAACTGTCACTGGATGTTTGTGTCCCTAGAGTAAAAATGCCTTATTGGAAGTTGACTTAAAACGATGTATGCAACCGACTAGTGAGCAGAATGAGTATTATTTTCTCGTTTAAATTTGTGGTGTGTCTGTCAACAGTCACAAAGTCCTTGAACTGATTTCTACTGTGTAACTCTAAGCTGGTCCTAAGGCGATCGCCTGCAGCTGAGCCATCATTGATTTTCATTTTTCTGGGTTAATCATATATACATATTCATATATATATATTTTTTTTTCGGTTGGCGCTACAGACCATGAAGATTTTTGGTCGTGAGATATGGTCTCCTTACAGACTTATGCTGCTTGCGGAAGCACAGATAGCCTGGAGTGGGTCACCCAACCTCACGTTGCTACAAACCATAGTCTCCATGGTGCAGCGACAGGCCACCCGTAGCTCCATAGCCGATCTCTTTGGGGCCAATCTGGCAGTGTCCTTCCCACCGAGTCACCCGAATTCAAGGACAGTGACAAATCGGTATAGATGCATGGAGTCAGAGCTCAGCTGCTCAGAGTCAGCAGGCGCACGAGGACCTATTATTCTTTCCCCGAAACAGACCGTCCATGGACCGAACCTCAAGGGGACTGCTAAGATCCTGGTAAACTACATCCAGATTCCCGATTTAAGTACACGGGGTAGATCAGTCCTACGCTCGGTCGGTGTGAGTTGCCTCCAGTAGACTGACGGGCCTCACATCCTCCCCGGGAGAGTTATTGCTGATAACATGGCTTTCTCTGGTGGACGGACGGTCGCCCAAATCGGGCGGTCACCCATCCGCCAAAGTACTAAGCACGCTCGACGTTGCTTAACTTTGATTACCTATTGCAAGCACCTTAGCCCGTACGGCTACCACTTATCATATATATATATATATATATATATATATATATATATATATATATATATATATCTCCTTCTTCTAGCGCGAAAGACCGAAGTGATTCTTGGCCTGCTTCAATATCTGCTGCCACAGAACTCTGTCCTCCACCCAACGGATGCCCGCCTGTCGCATGTCTTCTTTTATCCTCTCCTTCCACCGTGTTCTTGGTCGACCTTTTGCTCTAGTTGCGAAGATTTTTCCTTTATATATCTTCTTCACCTTTTTGATATCATTCATTCGGTTGACATGGCCAATCCATTCCAGCATGTTTATTCGTATAAAATTTGACAAAGATAGCTCGTTGAAAATATTATATACTTCTTTATTCTATCTGCTGCGCCACAATCCATGCTGAAACACTCTACCAAACATTCCTCGCAGTTCCCTCGTCTCAAATCTGTCAAGCCTGTCACAGGTTATCTTATTTATTAACAAACATTCACTGTAACTAACAGACCGATTGTTAGTTACAGTGAATAAGGGCCTTGTACATTCTGATTTTATTTTGACGAGGGATTAGGTTACTCCTTATTAGGTGTTTAAGAGCATATATTATAAGACGTCCTATTTCCTGCTAGAAACGTTCTTTTGACCTCTTCTGTTTCATTGGCTTCATCAGTCATCAATGATCCCCAATAAGGAAATGCCGATACTACTTCGATATTTTCTCCGCCTAAGTCATAGTAAGGTTGCTGCCTGATTCTCTCAAAAATCATCAGTTTGGTTTTGCTGACATTAATTTCGAGGCCGGCTCTTCCTGCCACCCTTTTCAAGATGACATATACATCTTCGACTGTCTGCCTGCGTCTTCCCACAATCACTACGTCATCTACGTATTAGCCTCTATCCTTACTTCCTTTATAACCTTATCAAGATCTAAGTTGAACAGCAAAGAGACCAGTGCATCTCCTTCTCCCAATCCATTAAATTATTTTCAAGAATTTTGACAATTCCCTTTTCACTCTTATTTGACAATTGGTGTGCCTCGTTGTCATCTTTGTTAAAACTATTATTTTAGGAGGAATCTTTGCTTCTTCCATGGATTCATACACCATGGATTTGTAGGTGGTGTCATATGCTGCCCTAAAATCAACAAACAATCGTTATCTAACTATATTGTACTCACTATATTTTTTCATCAATCTGCCTGAGTGCAAAGATCTGGTCAAAGGTTGATCTGTTTCTTCGAAAACCACATTGGTATTCTCCAACTGCCCTTTCATAACATGGCACAAGTCGATTGTATAGTATTGCCTCAAAAATTTTATATGCAACATTAAACAGTTGGATAGCTTTGTAGTTGCTGCATTTTGGCAAATCACATTTCTTTGGTACCATTGTGATTATTCCACAACTCAATTTTTTTGGTATGCTTTCTTCCTCCCATATCCTTTGTATGAGCCTGTGTAGCTCTCTCAGCATGTTAGGGCCCATGTATTTGAAGAGTTCGACATTTATATTGTCCATGCCTGGTGATTTGTTTCTCTTCAGTTTACCAATCACTTCTTCCTATTCTTTTAGGGTTGGAGATATTTCTTATTCACATACATATTCTGTTTCACTATGTAGGATCATTGTTGTTCCATTTACATATATATATGTATTTATATTTTTTTTTTTCGTTGGTGCTAGAGACCATGAAGATCTTTGACCGCGGGATGTGGTTTCCAAAAGAAAATTTTAAAATGCTTATCATCATTGTTTCTTTTTTGCTCTTGGGATCACTGTGTTCTAAACCTTACTACTAACAGTTTTGCTAAGATTAAGTTGAACATTTATCTTTATAGTTAAATAAAGATTTTAGAATTTTTCTGAGGTATTACTGGTATGGATCCCTTGTCGATTACTAGAAAAATTGAATTTTGGGGTGTCCATCGTAAGTGCAAGTTTTTTAAAAATGATGATTATACCTGTATAACTTAATATTTGTTCAGTAATTAGAGACACGCTAATAATTTATTTCACTTTGAACTATTTAGAAACAACTATATTTTTACTAATGAATTTAATAATTGCTAAATAAATGAAACTTGTACTACTAGTCATGTTCAGTACTTTATAAGAAAGTACTGTTTCCAGATCAGCAATCATACAATGGAATGATTTGGCCAGGGTGGTGCTCAACTTCCAGATTTTTCCCCATTATTTCTCAACAATTATTCATTTTTTTTTTAGTAATGGTTACTTAAAAATTGATAAAGCATGCTTAAGACCGGATCCATTTTTCATTTTATTTTCTCCTAAAGCTGGAAAATGAAATGATAAATTAAATATATTGAACCATACTGAAGGACTTAGATTAGTGAAATTGAGAAAAATAATTTAGGTAATGCTTCATCTTCATGATATACAAGATAAATATAAAAAAAAAATTAATAATTAAAAAAATTACTGGAACAATCCTCAGGTAATAAGGATACTATCAGAGGACTGAACTCATCTTTCTTCACAAGGAAATATTAAATGGTGAACAATGGTAGGCAATACAAAATCAAGATCACTTCTTAGTCAAAGTAACCAAAGTGTGTGAAAAAAAAATTAAGGGATTGTTGTTATTAAATTATCCAACTATTTTGACAAACAATGGAATTATTTATATTTGTATGCCACCATACAAAAAAATATGAAATAAGAGTGAGAATCTTTGTTATTGTTCTATGGTGACCTAAATCAATAAAAACACTAAAATAATACTTTTTTAAGTATTTTAAATTAAATATTATTTTTTTTATATTACTTTCAATACCAGACTAAGAAGGAAATATAAAGATCAATTGAATCTGTTTGTTTAAATCTGGTTTGGACAGGATTGAGACATAAATTGTTTAGATATAACACCATGGGCGGATCTACGGGAGGGGGGGGGAGGGTTCTTTCTTTCTTGAGTTTCTTTCTTATTTTCCAAAGTAATTATCGTTATTTTTATGAAAAAAATCTTTTGGGCTGAAGCCCCCCCCCCAAAATTAAATCCTGGATCCACTAGTGTATATTACTACAACAAAATAATAATAATAAATAAATAAATGAATATGAGTTTTTGGCTAAAAAGTTGCCTAGTTTAGGAGATTGCCTGATTGAAATATTCAATCATAAGAAGTGATTTACACTTGGCTCAGTATCCAAGTACTAAATGATTATCCTTTGTAAGATTTTTTAATAATGTATCCTCATTATTTCTATTTTATTATATTTAAATTAGTGTGATTTCTGTTTCATATTTTTTTTCTTGTTTAGTATAATTAGTGGTGTAGAGTATCAATAAATATCTACATAATTTCAATAAACTTCTTCTGGTTTTAAACATTTCTGTATATGTTTGTTGTTGACTGATTCTATTGACTGATTTTTGTTTCTTAGAAACTTCTCCTGTAATGAATTTATTCAGACCTAAAATGCTTAAGGAATGATTTTATATAAACAGTACACTGAGAGAAAAAAAATTAGTCACCCTCTCCTGGCACCTGGCGCATGTCAATTATGGAGTCTTATCTAAACTGTATCAAAAATCTATGGGATGAGTGACAAAAAAAAAAATAAAGATTGTGTAAATGCATGCAGAAATAAAATCTGGAGTTAATGATTGTGATGGAAGTTAAAACTATCTACACCAACTTCTAGAAAAACATAAAAATTGTGTTTTTGAAGTGATTTGGAGACTTAAGTAATTTTATGCAATTACTCCATTATATTAAATTACTGGAGAATTTGGTTTAGAAAGAAAAAGAAGTTTCTGATAAAATAAATTTTATTGTTTAAGAATAGATCTCCCTTACACTCTGCAACTCTGCAGCTACTGGATATAAGTATGTAAAGTTGCAATTGCAATTATTCAAGACAATAGTTTTTAGCTTTTGCATTACTTCTATAAAACTGGCTTAATAATAATAAAAAACATATAATTAGGAGTTACTGGTACTAGCAGGGGGAATTAGTCCGGAAATGGGTCACATGGTTGTTTTTGCCAACCTCTAATGGCTACCTTGAGGTTCCTGCCTCGTTCTTGCCATAGTAGGAATGTCAAGATTCATTTCCCAGGGCTACCGAGAAATGAAAGTTAACCAACCCAGTTGGGAATCAAACCCATAACATTTAGAAATGAAGACTCTGGGACTCACGCACCAACATGCTTGGCCAAGAAACTGGTATAATCTAAGCCAAAACTTTATGTATATAAAACAATAAATTAAAACCTAAAATATAATGAAAGAATAGAGTATCAATTATACTTAAAACTGTAGTTGATGGATATGTTGTGATACAAATAGTTGGACCAAGGGAATTTGAACAGTAACAGCTAAAGTGATCAATTAATTAAACTAGCAAATCAAAGTTCATGTTCTTAAGTGATTCTAACAGGCTATTTTCTGATCATGTGATTGTGATAATGATATACAATGAAGTTAGAATCTCTTTTTACAACATATTAATATTCTGAAGAAGATTAATAGGATATGGAAAGACTTTTAATAAAATCACCCATCAGTAGCAATTATATCTTGTAACTAATATGATGATTTATTGAAACTGTGGATTTTTATTTTGTTTTTAAAATCTTTAGTGAAAACTCCATTCATTAATAACATTTTAATATATTTTTTCTAAAAAAATATGAAGGAAAAAATCATTACTTATCAAAATTTGATTTGTTAATTCTCAATTGATTTATCAATGAGAAAACGATTTGTTTTTTAAAATCTTAAATCTTAACATTAATTTTTCTAAAACAGTGATATACCTATTGGTTTCATGATATAATAAAACTACATAAATAATACTTTGTCAATACATTTCCAAACTAAATTGTGTGCATTATTATGACACTTTTAGTACTCCTAGGCGGAGGAATAAACTAAAACCAATTTTTAATGATAAAATTTACATGCTCGAAAAACGGAGTATAAATTTGTTTTTTGTATGGAAATAGGTTTTGTGATTCTGCTTTTCTTATATTATTTTAAACTTCGCGGTCTAGGCACTGCCACCATGCCCTCTAGCAGGGGCGATCTGTATTACTTCAAGAGTTCAACCACACTGAATAGAATGGATTTTGTAATCATCCGCACTAATGTTAAAGTAGTTCCTTAAGTGTCATGGAAGTACTTTCTTTTTTAATTGAGAATTAAATTATCTCAAACATATTTATTTCGCCTGATGATTCTAGTTAAACTATTTCTTTTTCTGCAATAATATTCCGGTTGGAGCAAATTGTTCGGTTTGATTTTGATCGGTGGGCCATGATTGATTTTAAGCGTCTTTCTGGGCTGGATAATTTGTTGGTATTTTCATATATTTCGACTTTTCTCTCGTTTCGTCGCTCTATTTATGGAACATAGAATCATTTTAAGCGTTCCAGATACTCTGTTTTTGTGTAAGGTAAGCAGGTCAACTATAAAACTGAATTACTTGATGGTTTTCAGGGGAAGGTAGTTATGTGTTAGTATATAAATCATCATTGAGTACGTATTATTTATTTGTAATTCTTCTTTTTAATCTCACTAGTGTTCTTTTTGAGATTGTGTTTCATCACTATTGAGTTATTTGTAAAAGTCCTATGGATTTCGTTTCGGCCATTAAGCTCGAGAAGGGTTTCACCTGAGGGTGGGGACAAGTTAATGAACTTAAAATATAACGGAGTTGTTTTGTTGTATTGTGTTCTTGTTTTGTATTGTAATGTTTCATAAATCGTATATTACACTATGGATTAAATCAGTTTCATGTTTTATTTGTTATTTGCTCAACAAGGACTAAAATATGGTAAGAAAGTGATTGTATAGTAATAATCTCAGACCAATGTTCTCCTAACTTATATAAGATATATTGAAGTTATCTCTTTCTGATTAATAGATCAATGTATATTTAGTTAATTGTCGAAGTGTTTTCATTTTGCATTGAAGAACCATACTATGCATTTCATAAACATACATTTGTAATTTTTTTCTGAATTTTGTTCAGGAACTTTTGTTTGTAGTGTATTGGTTTACCAAAATTTTTTTTAAGTTTTAGGACATTTTCCCATTTAAACAAATTTTGTTTGATTTACTTAAAAAAGAAATTTTCTCTTATTTTTTTTCATTCTAATTCATCAAATATAAAAATATGTTATTAACAATAACCTTACATTGATATAACCTGTATTTCTTTGTTTAGCACTACCTAGTGGATGTTTATTATACTAAACCTCAACAAATGTCTGCTAGAACTAATAAAAATTTCATGAAGTACTTTAATCCATTAATTCGAATTATTGGTTTACTTTTTTAGTTTATTTTTAATATATATTCATTATTAATTATAGACATAATAAATTTAAATCAGGAATGTTGCATGATTTAGTTTTTCAAATTAGTGTTTTTCTGAGTTTATTTGGTAACTTGTTTCGGCTGTTTTAAGTAATACTTATTTTACTTCTTTATAGATTTTCATTCAACTACAAATAATTAATCTAAAAATGCAATTAGTGCAATGTACACTATTGTCTAGTTTTATCCAAAAAAATGTGAGGACTTGAAAAGTGATATCTGCAGGACTTGTTGGGAAGATAGCAAGTTAGTAATTTTATACTTAATATTTTATTTTTTCAAAAATTTGGGTGATTTCAGTATTTGTTAAACAATAAAATATATTCATTCATTTTATCGGTTATTTTGTTTTAACTATTGTTTTTTTTTTATTCCTGTTTTTAAAATTATTTTTGGTACTATTAAAGAAGTGTCACCTATATAGCATGTGGTTTTAATTTTTAGTTTTAAATACTCTTCTTTTAAGGAAGGATCACTGATATAGTGACAAACTAATTAATAAATTAAATGTTTGTTAGGTGTCGTCCCTCCCTCCTCAAGTGTTTTATGATTAAAATAAAAACTGTTTTGATTAAGTTGAAGTAGTGTCATGGTTGGTCAATCGATGGACCATGTTCGCATCGATTATACTTTACATTGAGAGAGAAACACTTTATTCTCATACAAGAGTGCTGCCCAATTATATTGGGCTGCTAAATAGAGAGCATACTTATTTATCACAATGGTCAATTTTCAAAACTAATGCCTTTTTTTTTTCATTTATTCAATTTTTTTCTTTTTTATTACTTTCACAGTTATATATGTAAAATATAGTTAATGAAAGTAACGTGATCGTGAACATTTTGTTCCCCTAACCACCTCTAACCAGATTTTCGGGAGTGAGATTCACTCCATAAACATTTGCAAAATCTTTTCTTTTCATGTCGAAGTGGGTGCATGAAAAGAACACGTGTTCTACCATTTATTTGATTCCTTTGTAGACCTAGCATTCATCAGTTTTATCCAGTATTGATATGCTCTAAAGTACCCGTGTCCAGTCTATAGGTGGGTTACATAGAAATCCACCTGACCATGTTTGACGACCATACCACGAGTTAATATCGGACACTAATCTATAGGTCTATCTTCCAGCATCAGCAATATTCAATCTCTCTCCTCCCTTGGGATTCTAGGACTTATATAGGATCTGCTTCTCTCATCAACTGACAGTTCAACAGGAGGCATACTAGCTATTACACATACTGCCTCATATGATACAGTCTGGAATGCAAGAAGCCTCCTGCGGCTCTCTCTAGAGACTTTTATGTTCGGCATTATTAGGCGTGATAATACGGACATGACTCTAGAAGCCTTAGCGCTGCTATACTCCCTGTGATCATTGAACCTGAGGCGTGCATCAATGAGAACTCTCAGATACTTCAGATATGGGTGAGAATGAATCTCGTGCCTACCTACCGTGACAGTGATAGTCTCCATTTTCTTTCTCGTAGCGAAAAGGACCACATCAGTCTTGTGATCGGCAAATTGCAGGCTCGTAAAAGACAACCAACCTCCTATAAAACCAACAGCTTGATGAGCAATCAGGATAACTTTTTCAACATACTTCGCCTTTACCACCACAGCAACATCATCTAGGAATCCCACAACTATAGCTCCTTCTGGCAATGGTAGCCCGAAAATCCCGTCATACGTCATGTTGTTCCATAGGAGAAGTCTTAAGACGAAACCCTTAAGACACTACCAGTGACATTATATCTCCTTGGTCCGATGTCTGAGTCATAAAACAGAACACTAGTTCTGAAGTATTCAGTGATGACTCTTATAAGATAATCAGGCACAGCCTAATCAAAAAGCATTTTTGACATCTTGAGTGTAATGATTGTCACGTAATACTTCGCTCCACTTCTCCATCTTACTCCTGCAATTGCTTTGTGGACAATATCAGTCACAAGTCCAATAGCATCCACTGTAGATCGCTCTTTCCAGAATCCATATTGGGCCATTGATAGACCATTTGCACTCAGTTAATTTTTGTAGCCGTAGACAAAGGATTTTCTAAAAATCTATCCTATAGTGTCCAAGAAGACTGATAGGGTGATGATTTGACAGGTCTTCCAAATTTCCTTTACTCTTCGGTGTCAGTACAGTACGCTTTCTCTTTCAGGGTATCAGGAGCGAACCTTCGTGGAGGCAGGAATGAAAAAGTTCCTTCAAAAGATCTGGCCTCTTTTTGAGGGCCAGCTTGAGACCCCGGTCGAAAACATCTTAACGATTTTGATTAAACTTGGTATATCAATGTACAATTAAATGATCTTTGATATTGGCTAGGTTTTATCTTCATTGATGTTGCCTAACAGGACTAAAATGTGGAATAGTCAATATTTCTTTCTCTGTAGTACCTTTAATATGGTTCAATTTAAACAATTAACTGTCTCTCATTGTTAGTAGTAATAAAAAAGGCTCAATATAAACTATGAATGAATTTGATTATTATTATTGACTATAGGAGAAAAAATAAGAAGTATAGTATAAAAATAGTTCATGGATGGGTGATGCATATGTTTATAACCTTCAATATATTTACTGAAGTTTAATAATTTTAGTTCTGATAATATATTTAAATAATTTGATATATACCACCGATTATTCCAAAAAGTCATTAAGTAACAGTTTATAAAATAAAATTAATGAATAATATGATTAACTGTTCCTCTGGGCAATCACATTATCCAGTTACAATTAGTGTCAGGACTTTTGATTTATCAATATTATATTGAACAGCTCGTAACTGTATTTAGACAAATTTTATAAGGGAAAAAATTAGAGTTTAAAAATATGTAAAAAGGGACTAGAGATTTAATTGTTCTAATTTTTACTGTGTGGTAAAATCCTAACTTACTCATAGATTAAATGTATGTACTGTCGAATGTCTAAGCTTATATGGAGCTGATATATAGCAGTTATTTGGTTTAAATAGACTGACGGAGTTATAAGGTTTTTATTGCTGACCAGGTTATCCTTTCTAATCTTTCAAAACCTCTGGAACGAATTGTCATATCCCAAATTTCCAACTTCCTCGAACAGTCCAATCAACTTGACGCTTACCAATCTAGTTTTTGACCAGGTTACTCCACACAATCCGCCTAAATCAAAATCATTACTGATGTTCAGTCAAAACTAATGTCCTAGTACTCCTTGACTTTTCGAAAGCCTTTGATACTATTAAATATTCCATCCTTTTCTCCAAATTAAAATCATAATCCTTTTCCAATAGCTCTATCCTTTGGTTTCAATCTTTCCTCTCTCAACGTACCCAAGCAGTCGCTATTCCTAACCAACCTTTATCTTCCTAACTCTGTATATCTCTGTCCTCAGAAGTGGCACATGCTCTAGTATATCTCCTCTCCTTTTTAGTTCCTATATTAATGACCTTCATAAATCAATCTTTCACTGTTCCCATCACCTTTATGCCGATAATTCCCAAATTTACCTTTCCTTCGCTCCCTCTGAGTGGCATGATGTGTTAGCCAAAATACAAGAAGACCTAAATCGGATCTGTCCCTGGGTAAATGTTAATGGATTAAGGTTAAACGCTGCTAAAACTCGAGCCATTGTCATTGGTTCGAAATCCCTTCTCAAGTCCAATACTAACATTTCTCCAAGACCTTTTGAAGGAACTTTTTCATTCCTGCCTCCACGAAGGTTTGCTCCCAATACCCTGAAAGAGATAGCGTCTTGTGCTAACACTGAAGAGTAAAGGAAATTTGTAGGACCTGTTGAATTATCATCCAATCTGTCTGCTTGAACACTATAGTGTAGGTTTTTAGAAAATCCTTTGTCTTAGACTACAAGAATTGACTGTGTGCAAATGGTCTATCAAGGGCCCAATATAGATTCCGGAAAGATTGATCTACTGCGGATGCTATTGGACTTGTGACTGATATTGTCCACAAAGCAATCACAGGAGTAAGATGGAGAAGTGAAGCGAAGTATTACTTGGCAATCATCACACTCAAGATGTCAAAAATACTTATAACACGGATAGATGGTCCTGCATATTGAATGCCTTACGAA